ACCAAATGGAAGCGACAGAATCAACTGCGCCTTGAGCAGCTGCGTCATCAGGCGACCATGGAAAAGGACTTTGTGGTGCAGGATGGCGGCGGTGCCGGCGGTCTGGGATGTTGTCCCAGCGGACTGAGCAGTTCATTTAGTGCCGCTGCTGCCGCCGCTGCGGCTGCCAGCAATCCGTGCAATTTTCTCACTTCAGCAGCAGCGGCGGCCATTTTCCGGAATGTCGGCTACGTTCACGGATGTCCCATGTAGGAGTCTGGTCTCCCTTAAAAAAAAAATATACAAAAAACAAAGCAGACCACTTCCAATTCCACTCCTCCCAGTTGCCTATGTACATAATACGTATAAAGAAAACAGTTTTTGTGCAATAACCGATCGGGATGAATTATTGAAATAGCAGCGATGTGCTCATATTTACCAAGCGTACCCGATATTATATTATACGTACTTATCGATATAATCATAAACTAAGCATAGTCGAATTAACTGTAATATACAACAACCAAATCTTTTTTTTTCGCCGCACTCTATGAACGTCTTTTTTTTGGCCAAAATAAATACTTAATTGCAAGCCTTGAGGTATTTTTTCTTGGGAGGTGGAAAACGTATTACATTTTAGGATTAGGCAATATTGGTACCTTGTTATCTATTATTCGATTATTATTTTTACTACTCACAAAACCATTTTAAATATGGCAAAGTATTTCATTCCACATAATGTAACCTTAGGATATTGATAGGGTCTAGTAATAATAATTTATCGCACCTATTTGTGTATCGATATCTTTTAATGCAATATTCCAAATATTATGTTAACAGTAAAGGTATGTATTTTAAAAGGCTAAACCGGTTTGATACTATCTCTGATTTAATCATCATTGTTAAACAGAAAGCCAGACGTTAGTCCGAATCAAATTATATCTATCGATTAAATCAACTGATCAACTTTAAGTTATCGATTACTTTATTTTGGTAAAAACCATTAAATTCGATTTAATTGTGTGCAAAGGAAATATAAAATCATAACGAACATAACGCTTAAATGCCGCTCGCCCATTTGCAAATCTGCAATCGGTGAGCTGTGAGTCATGCTTGAAAATCAACTTGAGCGAATCGCACAAAACGTTATCAATTTGTCGCTATATATCAGATAACCCGCGACATATGCCCACCCACCGGCAGGATATCACGTCTATCTGTCTGTATATAGACCCACTCTATTCATATAATATTCGCATGGACCCAAAAAAAAAGAATGTGGGGGTGGGGGGTTAAGAGCGAGAGGGACAGAGGAAAGAGAGAGCAGGGATAAAGCAGCCAACCGGAAAACAAGCAACAACTCTGCCCGCAATTATAACGGGCCAACGGAGCGCAGAGCGCGCATGAGCGGGGGCGTGCGCCAAAAAGGGATGGCAACAGTGCGTCCAGGCAACGAAGGATGCGACTGAGGACGCGACGGCGACGTCATATACTGTGGACATTCGCTAAGCCAAACTGGAAACTACTTAAGATGACCATAACATTTAGCATTCAAAATTAAACAAGGAACACGGGAACAGGAGCTCTTAACATATAACAGAAAACATATAACAGGCAATATACAGCAAATAATACTTAATTTGTAAGACATTTTCCCAGGTTCTACTTTACACTATATATATAATTCCCAATATGTTCTAGCGAAAAAAATGCATCACTTTCTTAAAAAATTCCTTGGTAGTGCAATTTCTAGTTTTTCTTAGCAAATTTAATTTATAAGACATTTTCCCAGGTCCTACTTTACACTATGTATTTATAATTCCCAATATGTTCTAGCGAAAAAAATGCATCACTTTCTTAAAAAAATCCCTGGTAATGCAAATTTCTAGTTTTTCTTAGCCACAACTAATTTATATGGTAAACTTGACCAATAATGTTAATAAGGTAACTATAAAAAAGTTTACTACACTTAAAAAAGTAACGAGTATTTTCTTGATTGGTTTACTTTTGTGAGTGTAACTACTTCATTGGTCCAATTGACAATGAAATGGATTGCAGCCATTTTACTGTTATATTGGTAAATCTAACCAGGATTTTTTTTGTGTGTATGAATTTTAGAAGTGTCAATATATGTCAGGAAAATACCGAATCTTAAATTCACAAATTTTTTTTTCCACACCAGTAATATTCTCATAAAGGACTGTAGTGTTTGAACTCTATGTTCACCTCATCGAGTAACACCTGTAGTTACAGTTATATTTTCATGCCCATTTAGCTCGGTACACAAAAAGGAGGAGAAATGTTTAGCCACAAATTGAATCTGCGGTGAGTGAGTTAACGAGCGAGAGAGAGGCCTAGAGGGACATACCCCTGCCAGACCCCCGAAGGATGTGGGAATGATATAGGGGCAGACGAGGGAGATGGGGACCTGGGGATCTGGGAGAGTAGTTTTCGAGTGGTGCAGAGCGGCACAGAACGCTAATTAAAAAGATACTTGAAAGGAGCCACCGGAAACAAACGGAAAAGCCAAAGAAAATACAGATATCTACATACATATATATATATATAGAGGAAAAATGGCAGAATGGAAATGGAATTGCAAAGGGGAAACGGAAATGGAAGGCGAAAAAAAAGCGAGTTAACGTTGCCATGAAATTGTCTATGAAATGTGAATGTAATTTAATGAATAAAATTGCAGCTAACCCCCATCACTCAGCCACTTGCAGATAGATGGATTCACATTTTCTGGCCCTTTCACAAACTTTTTTTTTCCATTTTTTTCCATTTGCAAATTCTCACATTCATGCGGTTCATTTGCGCAGCCATTGAGATTTGAATGGCGCTTTTAATTGGTACATTTTACGCAGCCATCCTTTGAGCACAAAGGATCCTCCATCTCCAGTTTTCTCCTCCTTTGAGCCGGCCATCCACTTTGATTTGTATTTATTTAATGAGTTATTAATTGCATTAAGCTCTCGGCGTTTGCCAACTTTGCAATTAAAACATGAAAAGCGAGGAAATCGTGGTCAGGGGTAGGGAAAACTCATCGCTTTTGCATGCAGCCAGGCTGAAAACTATGAAACTAGTTTGCATAATTTGCTGCTCCAAAAAACCACGGGCGAAAGTCACGTGTCATATGGTTATAAGAAAAAAGTGTATTATACTTTTCAGCGCTCGTTTTCTTGTGATTCTGGAGGTGGTGTATTTGAAAACAGTTGCTTAACTGTCTGAACTTATTAGACGAATTTATACATTTTTATATTAAAATAAAATATATTTAATTTAAGTATTAGTGTTTTTGAATATGTTACAATGCTGTGTTTAGTTTACACATATTTGAAAAAGCATATACTATATAGGAAAGTCAACCTAAGATTTTAAATCTCACTTCATAAAATTCCAATAATGTGGACAAAATGCATTAAGACATTCATATTTCAACAGAAAAATATAAAAAACATTTTAAGAGATTAAGATATATGTACCTAAATTGATAAAGATATATATGTCACTAATATTGAAGTGAAAACAATAAATATTGCTTGTATGCTACTTGTACGCCTTTAAAAAACATTTTTTTGTGCTATAAACTTGAACAAATGTTAAAAGTAAGTGTTTAGTTTGAGTTTTTTGAAACAAAATAATAGTATTTAAGAAAATTACTTTACTCTTTAAACTGTATATCCTAACTCAATCGTTTTGATCTATTTTGATACCATCCACTTCACATAAGGCCGAATATATCAGACAGACTTTTTCTGGCACATTCCGCATTACAATAAATAAATGAGAAAGAATATAAACTGATTTTAAAAATAACATTTAATCACATTAGTGATACAAATATATATTGCTTATATTCTTTTTTACTTTCTAATTCATTTTTTTGTTATATTATTAGCTTATACAACTGTTTAAATGCCTATTTTGAATTTTTAAAAAACAAAATAATAATATTGAAAGTATATAGAACATAACTCAAACGTGTTTATCTAGTTTAATACCATCAAATCCAAATAAGGCAGAATATATCAGGATAGACTTATTTTAATACAACTCTTATAAGGCCGAATACTTGTACATCAGGATTTACTTATTTTAATACATCTGTGTAACATCTGTATAAACACTATATCCTAACTCAAACGTCTTAATATATAACTGTGCCTTCAACTCCATATAAGGCCAAATATACCAGGATAGACATATTTGAATACACCCAACATTACAATAAATATATAAAATCGCTGAACTTTAATTTTAAGATCTACAGAAATTCGACTTGCGAAAGAAATGACTGTCTTGGGCCGCATAAGTATTTTAAAATAATAAAGTTTCCACAGAAGGCACTTGACTTTGTACAGGGGAGGAACTGAAAGTAACTCGGTGGCATTATATCCCAATTTCGATTTAAATTTTTGCCTGCTGTGGCCCTGCCGGAGGGCAGGAATAAAAAAAGGGGGAGTAGAAGCCGGGAAACCGCAGTGGCAACTCGACATAATGATTGTGATCAGGGGCGATTATGACATCGTGGATGGGCACAGGACTCAGAGGATGCGACACACTTGACTTCCGGTTTATGGGGGAGGGGGTTATGCCATATTGTGTGAAAATTTGTGTTGTGCGCTTCCATTGGTGGTGGGTGGTTTCCGGCAGCTTCCAGTTCCATTTTGTGATTAAAATGTTTGTCATTATCCGGTTGGAAAATTGTCACAAATTGTGTTTGTGCCGCGGGCCGTGCCACACTTGTTTATTCGTCCTTATACCACAGGCACATCGCTATCTGGGCATCTTTATCCCTAATTGCCGCATTGTGTCCCATTGTGCGGCCATCGAACCAGCGATGGGATCTCGCCCACTGTCTCGAACCCCAACCGAGCCGAACAGGTTGTCTCTCACCAAAAAACCCTCGGGAAAGTCGAGGTCTGGATCCACCGATCAGTTGCAATCTGTGGGACAAACGGTCAGTGGATCAGTGAGTGGAATAAAACTAAAGCTTAGCGATACTACACAAGTGTAATACTTACTGAAAGCAAAAACGATATTCACCAGACCTGAATTTTGACATATTTTAATAATATTTTATTATAAATATAAATTGTTGATTAATTGATTGACCAGGTTTCAATACACCTTTAATTTTAACAAAAAATAATAGGTATGTAGATTTATTTCTTCTAATACCACCCTTACACATAATTGCATTTGCAATATACATACAAAAATCCTTATGAAAGCTTTAAAGAAAAGACTTTAAGGTACATATGATATTACAAACAAATTATTTAAATGCTTTTTGTTTTTATTTGAAATAAATCATGTTCTCATGCGAGTGGTTTGGTTTTGAAATGTCTTCGTTTTGAGGGCCATGCTGGTATGTGTTCCCAAGGTAGGGTTATCATCGCCCATATATTGTCTTCCAGTTTATGATTATTTGGTTTGCAGAGTGCATGGAATTATTACCATATTATTAAATATGAAATATTTGAAATAAATCATGTTTTCATGCGAGTGTAAAATCTTAAAAGACTAAAGATCTTGAGTTTGGTTTTGAAATGTCTTCGTTTTGAGGGTCATGCTGGTATGTGTTCCCAAGGTAGTGTTTTCACCGCCCATATATTGTCTTCCAGTTTATGATTATTTGGTTTGCAGAGTGCATGGAATTATTACCATATTATTAAACTATGATCTATTCAATATCACATGGTTTCAGTACTTTTCTTGGCGTACTGTTCATCTCTTCTGTATTTATCGTAAATACTTTGAAAGGTTTTACAAGTAACCTCTTAAATTATTGACATCATATTGCCGATAATTGCAGTTAGCTGGAATATTTATTTAAATATATATAAAAATAATATTTGCATTAAGAAAATTGTGATGTGCAAGTTGCCAAAAATAAAAGTTCTATAGTTACAATGGTAACGAATAGGAAATTTAAATATGCAATTTGTAAAAGCAATGATTGGACAGTTGTATACATTTTAAAATGTAGATTTGGGACGGTGAACAAAATAAATTCGGAATAGATAGTTCTGGACCACTTATATATAACATTATATTCATCAACGACCATTAAATTTTTCTTGAGTGATAATAGTTTTTTAAAATATAGATTTTGGACTTCGAATAAAACTTATTCGGAATAGAAAGTTCTGGACAATTTGTATGATATGTAAATATACAATTTGCAAAATATAAGATTGGATATTGCATTTCCAAACGACCTTTAAATTTCATTAAGTTATAATGGGTTTTTTTTTTAATATAGTTATGGGATAAATAGTTTTGTATAGATAGTTCTGGACAGCATGTATGCTATGGCTTTGATTTACCTTTTCGGAATGTTCGCAGTATCCCAAAGGCATCTGCTCGGTGACCTCGAGAAACCAGCTCTTGAGGGCTATGGCGTCGGATTGGCTTATTCGAAAGAAGTGCTCCGGGTAGCCAGCTTCTAGGAGCTCATGGTTATCGGTCATGATGAGGCAAATCAGCAGTTCGACCGATTCTACCAAAGTGATTAGCCCATCCAACTTCTCTTGCCTAGCCTCGTCCAAAACAGCCCAGCCCCAATCGATCGGCTCGGGGGTCGGTAGGTGATCCACAGCATTTACCAGCTCCTCGAGCTCCCGGTAGCGATGCATGGTGACCTCTAGAGCGGGTATTCTGCGACTGAGAATTACCCACAGCAGGCAGACGGCCAGAGGACGACCGCGCCATGAGCACTTCGAGAACACGGAGGCCAATATGAAGAGGTTCCGCTCCTGGCAGGCATTCGATTCCTCCAGATCAGTCAGCAGCTTCTCGACCAGAATGTGCACCTGGTGATTAAACCTTGGGTTATTACCATATTACGAGATATCATGAAAGATCCCATCTCAATAGGAGTTTTTCCTAGACTATATACTTGAAATAATCCTAAATATACATTAGCATTTCGTTTGCCCACAATGTTATACTCTTTATCTCTGTGGAATCTATAGGAAAGGTACTACAGAGTGTCACTGCCTTTACATTACTCATAAATAAGAAATATTTAAGTTTATTATCATATTACGAGTTAGAAAGATAGATCCCATTTTAATAGTTCTCCGAAAATCATTTTACGCTATATACATACTTAAAATAATCCTAAGGATATATCATCGGGAAAAATAATATGAAGTTAAGGAATTAAAAAGAAAAGTGCATTCCAAGTGCATGGGAAACAAATCAAATAAATATTTATACAATTGTAGGACTACATAGACCATCTTAAATTTATGAACCCAAATATTAAAATTGAAAGTTTGTCATTTTTGACATAGAGTTTATAAAATTTATACATATGTATTTCAAGTCGGTTGAACAAAATTGTAAGAGAATTCTAAGAATTCTATATATATACCAAGTGGATGGGGTATAACCTATACATATATTTATATTTTCTTTTGTACCAAAATCTATGATTCTATTGCTGGGATATGTATTTTCTTGGATTTAAAATATACATATGTATGTACATCTGTACATATGTTACTCACAGTCATGGGATCCACACACTCGATGATATTCAAAAGCCGGTCCATTAGTTTGGTGCGAAGCTTTCGCTGGAGATCCGTCCGCTTATGTTCTACTAAGACGAAGATGCAGAGTCCGGCCAACATCGGATGCACGGTGTCGAGATCCCAATAGGCGGATCCCCGGAGTTGAATACTAAAATTACGAGCTACCTGCTGCATTTCCGAATTGGGATTGGTTATTTGTCCCGCTGGTTGATGTATCACATGGTTACGCACGCGCACTTACCTTGATTATATTCCCATTACCATTGTAATATTTCATGAATTGTGCGAGGAAAGTGCGTTTCACAAAGGGGTAAAATAGGCGTCGAACACTTAAAGCCCTCATATTGCTGTTAAAGTTCCAGGAAATCAAGAAAATTCCTTTGCAAAATGTTTTACGGAGATTTCGGCTAACCAGTTTTGGAAAATGTAAAATAATAAGGGCATTGCTGTCAAGTCGACAATTCCGGAACTGAACCACTTCGAACTTTTTTGAGGTTAGGAACCGAACTTTGAACCGGTGCGATTTTCTAGGTATGTTCACACTGTGCTTTTCACACTTTAAATCATGTGTAAATAGTTATGTAGGTATAAAGTGTTTAAATTATAGAGTTTAAACATTAGAAATTCCATCTTAAGTTTCTCTCTGCTTGAAAAGCAATCCAAAAAAATGCCCTTAAAAGCATCTTATTCCTATCAATAACTTCTCCAATTCTTCAGTCGCGACTCATTGATATGGATATTGCTCAGATGACAGAAATTCGTTATAATTGGTGGGGTGGATCGTTTCTGATTTCACTTGCGCTGCGGCTATCATTTACATACAAATCTTATACTTGGCATTTGTGTAAACAACAACTTCATTAGTAAACAAAAAGTAAACCGCCCACAGGAGTGGTAGGGGTGGATGTTTATAAAACCCAAATCCGCAGCCGAATCTAAAACCCAAAAACTCGATTCCCTTTCAAATGCCACAAATCAGCGAATAATGACATGAAAATCTGTTGGCTTTTGTCAGGCCCCGCGGCCTGAAAGCACGAAAAATGGGAAATGCGTTTGGTGGGGGTGGGTTGGAAAAGTGTTGAGAAAAGTGGGGTGGACAATTTGCCTTAAATTAGGCGTAAAATTCACAGATTGGCTGCAAACACCGCACACAAGCGACTCATCAGATCGGTCCACCCCAAAAATTAAAGGGTAGCTGTTCGCCACTTGTCATCATCATCTAGATTATTATTATCATCGTCATCAGAACCGAACCCAAAATGATTGTTAGTATTTATAACCACAGTTGAACATCCATAAGACGGAATGGGCTGCAATTGAGCTTTAGTATTGGTTTGTACAGTTTATTTTTGCAAAGGAACGTAGATTAAGGCTTACTATACTATACTATTTGTAAGATATTAAATACTTACCATATTTATGCTGATATCAGTTTAATATATAATATAACATTTAACATTATATAACATCATTCTTAACAAAATCCTATCGAAAATTAAAAATACATATTTCATCAAGGGCTGTTTTACTGTAATTGGCCTGAGCCCCGTTTTTCCTTCAACTTGTCGACCAACCCTCGCTAATTGAGCACTTCTATATTGTTTAATTAAAGGGAGATAGAAATTTGTGTTTTTACACTTGTCGCTGATTTTTGGCATCCGATCATTGCCGATCGTTATCGATAATTGGCACACCAAGCAGTTAAAACTGCTTAACAACATAACCTTCTTCGTTAATCTAAAGTGAGGTTATGTTGCAGAAAGAGAGGTTAGGTTGGCTACCTTTTGCCATTGCATTTATATGTAGAAACAAATACATGTGCATAATTAAAAACAAAAATAAAAGCGTAACACGCACACAAAGGTAACGGTGTCTTGGCTAAAAAAGTTGTTAATCTTTTCATGCCGACGCATAATTAAAATGTGAATATGGAAATTTCAATGGGAATCTCTGCAAAAAATGCCCCAAAAAAATAAATAGGGAGAAAAAAAGGAAAAGAGGCGATAAAAAGGCAAAAGAAAGGAAAGAAAAGACCAAGCTAAAGAGATGGAGACAAACACACACAGCAACTTAACGGTTTGCTGCTCCTATGGCCATCTCGCTTTCACCTTTTGCGCTTTTTACCGCCTGTTTTTCTGTGTGTGTGTGTGTGTGTGTGCAAGTAATTGCGAAATATGAAATATGAATGCATAATGAGCAGATATTTCCCAAGTACGCAAGAAACTTCAAGCGGCAGTGGGCGTGGCAGGCGCAAAGGAAGGAGGCGGAAACGGAGGCCAGGTGACTTTTATGCTAAAATGCGCACATCGCGCGTGCATTTGCATTTTGCCAGCCTTTTCGAAAGCAGTGCAAGGACAAGCACACACACACACAAGCAAAAGCAAGCGGACAAACACACACACACACGTATGAAAAATCTTAACTACAGTAAATATCGATTAAATCGATTTATATTAGTTTTAAAGTTTAAGTTTATTTTCAACTGCTTTCTTAGGTTATGACACATTTTTGTGAGTAAATATAAAATTCTTTAACATTTAATATTGAATATTTACTTAAAGGGGTTTTCTATCTTAGAAAAACATTGATCAATAGTTTATTTAAAGTCCCTGACAGAGCGCCACCAAAAATTTTTTAATGCTAATACTGCCCCCTAGTTTCCAGCGTCCCTGATCCCAGAAATAGTAAAACGATTTCCTTTAAATGTAGTTATAAGTATACATTATCTTTTTTTTCAAAAATTGATATTCATAGCCTATAATCATATTTCTTACGTTTAATAAATATTTTTAATTTATAATTTAAAGTTACGTTTTCTGGGTTTCACTGTATTTGTCTTGCTCAGTCGGGAGCCAAGTGAGTTTGGAAAACATGTCAAAATGTTGGGGAGCTCATTAAAATAGCGTTGGCCATTTGCACACGTCTTTCAGTCACTAATTTTCCGGGAAGGAGGGATATCGTTGAAGGCCTCTTTTTCCTGTCCATAAGTAACACATCCTCTTTCCAGTTTGTGTCCAAATCAAATGGAGGAACTCGCTATGAATCATATGGTGCGGCCCCAGGGCTTCAGTTTGGAGGAACTGCGTCAGACTCTGGGTCACTCCGTCATTCGGGGACAATGCTATTTCATCTATGGCACCACCAATATTCTGGAGGTGAGTGATTTGAGGTGTACATAGGGATTGGTATCAAATGTTTCGTCTAGGTAATTACTGGGTTCAATGAACTGCTCAACCGGGAGGAGATTGAGTTTGGAGCGGAGCACCTTGCTCCGGTTTATGTGACCGGGATGATGGTGTATCTACTGCATCACGAGGATCTGGCGGCCACCCAGGTGAAGAGAACCCTCTTCCTGCAGCGATGCTTCGATTATATGGCCTGCACCGAGGAAACCCATGTAAGTTGACTGGTTTTTGAATCAGAAATTTCCAAAATTCTAACTATAAAATTTTGAATGATTCTTTTAATAAATAAAATTAACACTAATTAGTTAGGACCTTGAAACTATTTGAATATAAACAATTTTGACATGCTTCGAAACCTTGTGTTTTCTTATCCTTAAAGTTTACATTTTCAGAATCGAGGAACTTTACTTATCACTTATCCGACCCAATAAAGTATATATGTACATACATATATTCTGGATCATCATCAATAGACGAGTTGATCTAGCCATGTCCGTCCGTCTGTCCGTCCGTCTGTCCGTCCTTCTGTCCGTCCGTCTGTCCGTTTCTAAGCAAACTAGTCTCTCAGTTTTAAAGCTATCAGGATAAAGCCTTCCCAAAAGTCTTATTTCTATTGGGGAAAGTAAATAAGTCGGACAACTTGTTCTTATAGCTCCCATAAGAAAATCAATATTTAAAATATAGAAGTATGACAGACCTAGACTTTAAAATAAATGTTATACAGTAATTTCCGCAATATATGTTTTTTAAGATAGGCTTGTCCAAAAGTTACAAAACCCACCTAGAAAATGTTTAGATTTTTAGATTATCCAAACATATAAGAATTAAAATGCAAGCTACATAAGTATTTTATATTTTAGTTAAATCCCCTGCTCTTCCTGTTCCCCCAACAGATCCACCAGGTATGCGTTTATATGCTGAGCCTATTGAATGCCAACAATTCGAGCGTAATGCTCAATCTGATCCACTGCTGTCGCGTGGCCAGTCCCCTGAGCACGATGGCCCGCGTGGTGGGCAACTGCCTGCTCTGGGCCATGTTGGATCACCTCTCGGACTTGGGCCTGGACTCGCACCGCTTGCGTCCGGCTGGGACTCTTCTACTCGTCGTCGCAGTGGTGAATCCCCGCACCTACGTGCAGTCCTATCTGCATGCCCTGCATCTGGTGGTCCGCCTGATATCCAGTCTCCTGCTGGTTGGACCCCTCGGTGGACATGGCCAGCAGCTTTGCCAGGAGGCCGGGGTGCCAGGAGACCTGATGAAACTGGCCAAGGAGGACTCTTCGATTCTGGTACGCTGGCTAATCGTTATCGTTGAGGAATTGCGTCCCCAAATGGTGGATAACGATGATTTGGGGCACCTGCATGAGCGTCTGGTGCTGTTGGAGGCCATATGTGAGCTTATGCAACTCCTGCATGGCCATTTGGTCAAGTGCCACCAAGAAAAACAAGATCTGACCCTAAATTAGCACGAAGGATGGCAGAAAAAATACAAATACAACAACAATGTCATTTCATTCGATGGTCAGCATGACATTTTTATAAGCATAAAAGAAAATTCTTTTTTTTAAAGTAGTATTAGTTGCTAACCAGTTTTTTCTGTAATACAAAAATATAGTTTCCTTAAATAAAAATCTGAATTTATGCTTTAAAGCTAAGCATTTGGTGATTTTAATGTGTATAGTAAAAAAGCTCTAGCTTTTGATACAAAACTTACTTGGAAAACTATAGATTTACTAGATTTAAGTGATACAAATAACAATTCTACTCTTTAAGGGCAAGCACTGAGCTATTTTCAAGTCTCGTGTAAGCGTAAGCTCAAAATGCTCTGGAAACAATCCGGTTGGTGCTCGCTTATTAGGTCAATCATCTCCTGCATCTTAGCAATGGATCCAGGAGATTTTACTCATCCAAAACGGAGTCCAGCCACTGCTCCACTTCGTTCTTGCTGGCCGCCGAGGAAGGTGTGGCCGGCTGCACCATGGGCATGGGCATGGGCATGGTGATGGGGCCTATGCCAGAGCCCATATCAAGTTGCTTGTTGGTCATGGCCAAAAGCTCGTCCAGTTCATCGGGTTCAGCAGAGGGATTAGCTGCAGCTGGTTTCTCCGCCGCTGCAGGTGCTGCCTCCTTATTCGATTTAGCTGAGGCCACTCGGGACTTGGAGCCGCCGCCATTTGAATCCTTTAGGATGTGCTGCTGGTAAACAGCCTCGGCTCGTTCGGCGGCCTCCTCCTGGGCCACGATCTGCGCCCTTGTAAACATGGACGCTGGATAATCCATGCGTTTGTAGAACGGAATCGTTTGCAGACCCGCATTCAGGCGGGTTAGGTTTAGGGTGAAGTAGCCACTGGCGGCCTTGGTGTGCAGCTTGGTCTGGCCCTCGGCCACGCTGGCCCACTCGCGTTCCGAACCAAAGGCAAAGTGCCCGCCGCCTAGAGTTGGAAACTGGGCCAACTGCTGGAAGTCACCAGCACGCAGCTGGGCACGGGCATTCTCGTCGATGGGTGCGCCGTCCAGGCCCAGATGCTCCACATCGTCGGTGTCGCTGGGCAAGGTGTCCAGCAGATCCCGATTCCTTTGCGGGGCCAACGATGAGCGACCTGCTCCTACGCCTCCTCCGCCACCGGATTGCCAATTGCCACGCCGAGGAAACCTTGGCTCATCGCTGGAGTCCGCCACATCCACCATGCTGCGACGCGAGGTGGGCGGTGGGGAGCCCGACGAGGTGGTAGATCGTCCTTGATCCTTTTTGTGGTGATGATTGTACTGCTTCATGTTCCTGCGCTTCCTGCCAAGGGGATTTAAAAAAAGGAATTAGAGTGACTGGACTGGCTATCGCTGTTACGTTACACTTACTCCTTGGATCGATCGTCCTTGCCGGACATTTTGGTAGGGGTTGTGTGGTTTCCGGGGTGTTATTTCTCAAGTAATTCCGATTCAAAATCGGTTTGTTTACGCTTGTGGTGGCGATGCAGGAGCGAGTGGGATGGAGATAGCCACAAACAGCTGTTCGCCTCACAGAGATCAGGGTTGTCAACAGCTAACAAAATGTTGACCACTTTTAAGCTGGGTATTTAAATAAATAAATATTAGCTAAGAAAATAAATAAATTTAATTTATTCAACTAGAATGAAACCATCAACGCATTGTAAAAATGACATACCAAATAATTTAATCACAACTTGTTTCTTTTTTTTATGCATATTAAGTTAGTTTCAGCCTTAAGAAGCTGAAAGTGCTGATTTATTTTTAAAAAGAAATTTAAATTACCACCAAACACCCTGGCAACCCTTAAAGGCTTCCAACAGCTGACAGCGATAACTTATCACTGCGAACTCATCACATATCGATAGACTGTCAAGCTAAATTAATAATTCTTTTTTTCAATTATTTGGCGAGCGAAGCATGGCAGCTGAAATGTTGGGCTTTCTGCAGGCACTGCAAGGCAGCGGATCCGGGGCGAACCAACTGCTTGCCGACATATACACCGAGTTCTTCGCGGACATCCTGCAGGCGGTCAGGGAAAATGGATGCAAGCCGGAGGATCAGGAAAAAACGCAAGGATTCCACATGCTGCGCAGCTTTGATACGGAGAGCAGCAATCAATTGGAGCCGCCGGCGGCCACCGATGAGGATGTGTGGATCTTTGGCTACGGGTCGCTGGTGTGGAAGGCCGATTTCCCGTACATAGACCGCCGGCGCGGCTTTGTTTGGGGCTTCAAGCGCCGCTTTTACCAGCACAGCATTGATCACCGTGGAATTCCAGAGCGTCCTGGGCGCGTGGTCACTCTGCTGCCGGGCGATCCCAATCAGGATCGCGTCTACGGCGTGGCATATCGCATTGCTGCGAGTCAGAAGGGTGCAGTGCTGGATCATCTGGATTACAGGGAGAAGAATGGCTACGAGCGTTGCAGCCTGGAGTTCCACGAGTATTCGAATACCTCCGCTGACGGCGGCGGGGGCGACGGCGAACCCATCCAGGTGATCATGTACGTGGCCACACAGGCGAACGACTCGTATGCCGGCAATGTCTGGCAAGTGCCCTGCATCGCTAAGCAAATCTTCAGCTCTGCTGGTCCCAGTGGACCCAATCGCGAGTACCTGTTCAACCTGGCAACCGCCATGGATCAGCTCTTTCCCGGTGCCGTGGACGAGCACCTGGAGGAGCTGGTGGCCTGCGTGAGGCGTTACATTGCCGAGGATGAGCCGGAGCTGATGCGCCATGCCCTGTTGCAAGAGATAGCAGGGATTCTGAAGGAGGAGCAGCTGGCCGAGCAGGCTCAGCGTCTGGAGGAGCTGCTGGAACGATGCCAGCAGCCTGGCGGACGCGAGTGGCTGCTCCACGGGGCTTTGCAGCCCAAGAACGAGGCGTGACCCCCACCTGTTCCACTAGAGAATTACTATTTATTTTAAATGCCAATGAGCCTGGGCTGGGTGTTTTTCACAGATGCACCATTCCAAGTAGACCGATTATAATGACGTGGTACGGAGATTACTGACTAATCAGAGGGCCCGATATCATAGTTACTATTGTGATTTAAAATCAATAACTTAAAAAATATTTATTATAAATATTAATGACAATGACAAACAGGTATTCTTTGTAATTGATAGAACCACAAATGCAATTGTGATGTAAAATTAATAAACTGATATTAATTGAAACATGGGATTGATTTTTTTAATGATTAATAAATGGAATAACTTATTACAGCAAACTTAAAAACTAAGTATATATATTTCTAACGTTTTTAATAATCAATTTAGGGTCTTATGTTTAATTTTTAAGGATTTCATCATAAAGAAAACTTTGTTGGCCGAATGATTCGCATAAATCTGCGCTGATAGTAAAATGAAAAATCTAATCTATTAATTTATAATTCAGGAACTACGAAATTCAGGTAGCATTCTTAGTTAACGAAATTCATAGCGTGAATCAGTTTTTGGAACCCCCCAATAGCTTAATATTTATTTAAATATGAGTGATATTAATTGATCTGATAATTAATTTATTAATTAACCACAGATATATTGTGAAGACCTACATATGTTCATATGTAAGTACATGCATATGTACATACATATGTATTTAGCGATTATAATCTCAGAGATAGTCAAAAAAAATGTTATTAATTTAAGGATTCTAATAACTTTGATGTAGTGAATAGTAGCAATAAAGAAAATGAAATAGTGTTTTTTTATTTTATTTTATTTGGAAAATATTAATAATACATATTTCAAGAAGTGTGCAATTCAACAGAACGGGGAATACCCCAAAGATATGTATTTTAGTATTTTCTGGTCTGTGGTATTTTTTTCAGCGAACTTCGTCACAGTGATAGGGATGGGAAAAACATCGCGGAATATCATATCGATATTTTGCCAGCAGACAATTCATCGATGGTCCGCAGTCACCGAAGTTTTTCCAGCTCTAACAGTTGAGAAACCATTTGGGAAATTGTCGCTTGTTTTGCCGTGCTTTTTGTTTAAACATTGCGTTGTGTTTTTTGTTTATCGCGCCCCGTGTTGAACTGAAGCGCCGATCCAATTGGATTGGTCAAGCGCGACAAGTGTGACAAGCAGCGGAGAAATCGCCATGAAACAGGTGGGCGGGGTTTTGTGGTTTGCGGGGGGGTTGCTTGGTATTGGTATCTTGTGGGTGGATGTGGGTTTAGCGGAATGTGCGCCACCTTTGTTTTTGTTTCTGTTGCTGCCGCTGCTGCTACTACTGCTGCTGCGCTGACGATGATGTTATGTCCCATTCCCGTTGTTTGTGAGTGTGTCAAGTCGAAATGCAAATTCTAACGGCTTGTGTGTGAGTGCGTTGGAATGACAACATGTTTGCATTTGCAAACTGCTTGCTGGTATCCATATCCCATCACATCACCGTTAACTTGTTGTTGCTGCTCGTTTCGCTCCAGATGAATCATTTGGGCTCTCACTCGCTCTCTGCTCCTCTCCCTCTCTCTCTGTCGCAAGCAGATTCTTATCAGAGCAGCGAAAGTCACTGTTCTATCTTTATTGTTCTTGTTCTTTGGCCAACAAGTTTCTTATTGGACTACATTAACCAACATGACGCAAGAGTTCTCACTCTCCCTCCTCCTCCACTCACTCTCTCTCTCTCTTTGGGGGCTCCTTTTTATTGCCTGCTTTGCTGAGTTATTGATAATGGGCACACAAAAAGGATAAAGCATAACGGCACATAGCTCATTACCATGCAAATTTTATACCACCCCATATATGTGTGGGTGTGTGTTTGTTGGGTGCTAGAGCGAGAGGGAATATATATTGTGGGAGTATGCAAGTATTTACATTTTAGCAGATTACATTTTTTAGTATGTACTCGCATGTGGAATTATTACTTCCCTTCCTTAAAAAAAACAAAGGCTCCCCCTTCTACAACAACAACAACAACAAGTATTGACTTCTGGGGGAAACTTCGACCAGGGTTGCCATCTCGCCACGACCGAAATCAAAATCAAAGCCAGCGACAACCCTACGACTCTTCGCTGCTTTGCATAACCACCAGGATATACGTGCAAGTGTGTGTATTCTCCGTGTATGTATAACACGTGCCGTGGAAACTGCGCGGAAAACTCGGTCGTTTGCCATTTGAGTTGTATGAGTTTTGCCCAGTTTCAGTTTTTCGCTGCAGAGCACTCGACGCGTTCGCACGCGTTGATTTTTCCCCCCTTAAAGAAAACAAAAAGAAAAAATCCCTTACAAAAATAGTCAAAATTTGTGCAAAAAATCCAAAAGGATCTATAAATAACCAGGGAAAATCTCTTCCAGATGTTACGGTCAAGTAAATCAAAAAAGAAAAGCTTCGTAAATTTTCAAAATCCTTAAAGGCTGTATGAGTATGTGTGCTGCTCCTGCGCTGCCTCAACAAATTTTACCGTTGTATAAGGGCTGTACATGTGTGTGTGTATGTGTAACTCGTGTCATGTGACCGCGCGCGCAAAACATTTTGCATTGTTTTTGCCCAAGCAGTTGTTGTTGTTGCTGCTGCAGGATACCCAGCGTGTACGCGAAAAACGTTTTTTTGGGGGGCGAAATAGCGTAAGCCTGCGCAATAGTCGCTCACATGGCAGCTGTCCACACTCACACACACGCGTATAAATGCCAGCCGAGATTTTTTTCGCATTAATCCTAGGGAAATCAGCAGAACGCCTTGAAGTAGGCTAAGCAAAAAAGGAGCAGCGATTGATCCCGTTAAATTTCCAATAAGCATAAATTGCAAGCAGTGCGAGTGAGTGAGTGAGTGTATGTGCTCAAAGCTCACACGCACATACACACGTACACACTCTCATAGATGTCCTAGGAAGCAGCATCGCCTGCTCTTTTTCTCTGGCGCTCTCGTTCTGCCTTTTGCAGCAGCAGCAGCAGAAGCAGTTGAAGCAGCAGCAGAAGCTCAGTCGACAACTGACCAGCCAAGCACTAGCATATTTCTTGTTGTTCCCTTGACAAAAAAATCCGAAAATCCTTTCAAAACTTGACAAAATCTTGACAAAAAAGTGTGCAAATTTATGGCTAAAATCCCTAGACATTTAAAAAGCGCGCCAGTGTGTTTCGGTGTGTGTGTCATGGTGTGAAAAAACAAAAGTTTAACAATTAACAAATAAACTATGTTCTATTTAAAATTGAAGAAAATTCAAAGTTAAAAAAATTTTTTTTTTTATTTTTCATACGTTCAAGTGAAGAAGAAGCAGCAGCAGCATAAGAAGATGTAGCTAACATGTGAGTAGCAACAAGCAGGGCCAAGCAGTGCCTATGTGTGTGAAAAATCTGTAAATCGAGGTTATCTATACACATATAGCAGCTATATATATGTATGTATATGCAGGGGGAGAGGGGAGAGAAAGCTTACGTACATATATATACATACACAGATTTGGGCAGCATCCTGCGACTCCATCTAGCACTCTCCCTCTCTCGCACACACACTCCCCTTTCCCGCACTCTTTTTAAGCAATGGCATTTTAATCATCATTAGGACAAGTGGAAGGGGGACGGCACACTGTCATTATCAACAGACACACACATAGAGAGACACACCTCCCGTTGTCCTGCAGGCGCCACCCTAGATATTGCTCTCTCCCTCTCTCTCTCTCTCTTTACCACACACACATACACCCCCTCTCCCCTCTCTGCAATGTTTGTTTGCGGGAATTAAATTTAAAGTATGCCAACGATTTGCTTGTCCTTCTCCCCACTCCACTTCCTCCACCTCCTACTCCTACTGTTTTTTTTTGTGCCCCACTGTTGCGCGCTTTTCGTCCTGACGACCCATATGTGTATGTATGTATGTCCTTGTGTGCATGTGTGTAGCGTTGTCAAAGCGTAAACAATTGCAAATAAAACAAGCAAAAAACGACAGCAAAAAAAAGAGGAAGAGGAAAGGAAAGAAGGAAATATAGAATAAAACAAGAACACACACAAAAAAAAGGAAAGCCGAACCATACACGACATTTGCAATGTGCGAGTGTGCGAAAAAATCGATTTGTGTGCCATCAAAAAGTGCATATATAGGCAACCCATATCCCCATATATCCCCCCCATTACCACCACCCCCACCCCCCGTTGTGCAACATAATGTGGCAGCAACGATTTTCAATTAACATGAAACAATCGCTTAACATTTCACATCCGCCATTGCAATCGCAATATCCCGTTGTACAGATTGATTCTCTCTCGCCATCCCCCTCTCTTTCTCTCTTTTAGTCGCAGCAGGGGGTGGGGTGTGGATTGAGTTGATGGCTCTTAATTAATCTACGTGTGCCATTGTCAAAGGCTGAATAGAAATCAAGGTTTATGTAATCCCCCAGGCCAGGCGGAAAACAAAAGAAGAAATGGAAATAACGGGAAATAGCAAAAGAGAGGAAAAAACCAAGAGGCAAGCAAAACAAAAGCTGGCAAAATTGCAAACAAACAAAAAAAAAAAAACAAAAAACGATTTCATATCGCAGTCCAGACAATTGGCAGTGGTTATCGATATCTTAATTGGTTAAATGGTTAAACGGTTAAAGGCGAATTGCTAAGCTTAAGGCCCCTACTTTTCTGGGAAAACAAGAAAGTGTTTGCGTTTATCGATATCTTAACTGGTTAATGCTAAACTTGATACCTCAACGATTCTGCGAAAACAAGAAAGGGTTTGTAAGTGTGGGTTGTTGAAAGGAACTTACGCCAGTATCTCTTTGAAAACTGCAAACAGATCTATTCTGATATTTACTTCCGAGAAATGACCTTGAATAATTTTTTTTTGATTCATTTTGGATAACTTTTTAATCCCTTTTAGAGGCTGATTATTTAAATACTGTTCTCTAAGAAAACAACTTTTAAGACCACTAAGTTTTACTTCCGAGAAATTTTTGTCTGTTTGACTTTGAGTCCGTTTTGTATACAATTCAGAAAACATTTGGTTATATCACTTGCATTGTTATAGCAATTAGATGATTATTACAACACTTCTCTAAGAAAAATGCCTTTAAACTCAGTATTCCATTTATAAAATCGAATTCGAGTAAAGCACTCGAAAGTAATAAAATTGGTAATACTTTTCTGTAATTTTATGAACAGTTTTAAAGATTTTAAAAATCGATAAAGTGTAAATATATAGCCCGCTGTTCTTCAAAGTTAAATACATCCAATTGATAACATATTTTATTTGTTAATCACTCAAGTTTTTTAACCATTTGCCTAGTGTTTAACTTTAGGTGTCAAAAAGTATGCAACATTTTTTATTTAGGAGCTTGAATGACCTATTCTGACTTCGGTAGAACAAGCCACTATTTAAAAAAAACCAAATTACTATTTATTTTTCTAAACTAATTATATTACTGATCCTGATTAATATTTCAGTCACGGAAAGTACATTATTTTTAAGACTTTAAATGAAGAGAGGTCAATAAGCATTCAAAATGTTTCATTTATTAGCTCAATGTTCATTACGAACACTTGATTGTGTCTAAATTGCTTCGTAGGTGTACAAAACTCGATCAAATAAAACACATGTGAGTACTGTGTGCCGTAAGAGGACCTTGGGGAGCACTTAGGAAACAGTACAAAGTGTAGAACATTGTAATTTAAGCTTTCAACTGGTTTCCATTCGTTTTAATTGGATGTCCTTTTTGTTTCTCCCTGCTTTCTTGTTTGCAGATATTAATTCGACAATTGTTAACCTAGTTTCACATCTCAAAAATAAATCAAACAACAAGGACGAGTTCAGAGCAGCGCTGGCTCCTCTGGCATCGATTACGCACGGTTCTACCACTACTTAAAGACAAATACTACCAAGGACTCGAGGGAGAGACTCGCCGCGGGCAGAGGAAGCAACCAATACCCACACTTTTCGGTTCTCCTCGGACCAGGATCATCGACCCCCCTCCCTTCCCGACCCCGGCACCGTTTCCCCGTAGAACCATCCACTCTGCCACGCTGCCACTCTGTCCACACCGTCACTCCCAGCACTAACTAACCAACCTACAACAACTATTTGGCAAACTATTCCTCCTGGGCCAGAGCATTTTCGAGAGGAAGCACCATCGCATAACTGTGGATAGAGCAGCCGGAGCACGAGGACGACTCATGTTACAAAAATGAAAAAGTTCACATTCAAAGGAGTTCTAGATGGATTTCGACAAAGCGTTCAGCCCCAAGCCACACGACAGGAGCAGGAGATCCAGGAGCAACTCAAGGCCGACCATTTTACGTTAAAGAAAGTAAGCATCATCATCATTATCCTGCGATTCGGATTAAGTTCTCTCTATATATGTATGTAGAAAGTGTCATTACTCAGAGGCATCTGTTGCAGCTAGCGGGTGTTTTATTTGGTAGCTGTAATGATTTGAATCTATCATAAGACACACGCGGCTATAACCGATGTTTGAAGACGTCTATAGGGTAAGAAACCCATAAGAAACCAGTGGTACTGGCAAAATAATACTATTCCTTTCAACTTTGTTTTTAAATCAAATTCAGATATGATATGATATCTTAAAATATGAAATATAAGTACTTCAAGAGGCTTAATAGAGATTAAAACCACAATTTAGGTGTCTAGTGATCTAAAATGATATGATAGTACTTATCAGTTTGACGAAAGTGATAACTCTTATAAGTTAATAAGCGACACCTTACTGTTGTTTAAAAATTAGTTAAGATTTGTGTGATAATCGGGCTTATATTGTTTTTAAGAAATGAATTTTTATTGGAACTTTGATTAATCCATTATATTTCTTTATCGCAGACCTTTCGCCATGGCTTTCCATACTCGCCCACATCCTTTGCCTTCGATCCTGTACAAAAGCTACTAGCGATTGGCGACAAATCGGGCTACATTCGCATGTAAGTGTGGATTTTTTTTGAAATTTTGTCTCTGAACTTCTGATTAATATTATGTTTTTTATGTACTTTTTAGTTTGGGACGACCTGGCGTCGATGCCCATGCCAAACACGAGGGCGAATCCGAGTGCGCCGTGCTCTTTGCCCAGTTCCTGGTCAACGAGGGCGCCTTGGTCACCGTCACCGCCGATGACACCATTCACTTGTGGAGTATTCGCCAAAAGACACCGCGCATTGTGCAAAGTCTGAAATTTCAGAGGGAGCGGTAAGCTATAAGACCTTGATACCCAACCTTTTTAAAGATTAATTTCATTTTAATGGAGTTATTACACATTTTTGTGGGTCATCAAGTACAGATGTGGTGTAAATATATATATAAAGAGCAATATGTTTGAACGATTTACTGGCTAACTAAACTTCTAAACATATTAAACCAAACATTAGATAAACCAAACATAAAATAAGACCATTAAAGATGATACAAATTAATAGCTAGTGTCCTAAATGGATGTAATGTCCCCATAAAAATATGATTAAAAGGGGTTATCACTCTGGTTAATTCCCAGCACATCCAATTATATCTCCTGATGACATAATCCCCGTCTATCTTGCAGCGTGACTTGCATACACCTGCCCGTGGGCAGCAAATGGCTGTACGTGGGCACCGAGAAGGGAAACATACACGTTGTTCACATAGATACATTTGCACTTAGTGGTTATATTATTAACTGGAATAAAGCAATTGAAGTGTAAGTCCAGTTCGACCCGTAGCGAACCCCTACTATTAGATACTAATAATGTGTTTAAACCCTTAAATGCAGGGTTAGAACTAGTCATCCAGGTGCTGTGATTGCGTTATGTGATAATCCATTGGATGCAAACAAGGTGAGTCTGTTGATCTGGGGAGGAAAACCACTCAAGTTAAGTTTCTCTTTATTGAAAGTGGTCTCCCCCCCTTATATTAAATATATGGTTTCCGAAGACTGATGAGCCTCTTTTCCCCCACGTGTAGTTGCTTATTGCATTTGAGTGCGGGCTGCTTGTTTTGTGGGATCTGAAGGCGAAATGCGCTGAGTTGCGATGGCAGGCTGCCGAGGCCGTCAAGTCCCTGGCCTGGCACTACGAGGGCAAGTACTTTGTGTCCTCGCACACGGATGGCTCCATTTGCTCCTGGCCCACGAAGCCGCAGGCTAAGCCGCAGTCGCAGGTCTGTCCGCATGGTAAGTCCCCCATCTCTTGGACCCTTATTAAACCCGCATTTGATTTGTGTGCCTTTTGTGTGTCTCAGCTAAAATCAACAAGGATGGCAATGCGGAGAAATGCAAACCGATTTATAAAGTTGACTTGAAGTCCAGCGCGACTGGGTGAGTAAGGCGAAGCACTCCCATTTATATGTCATCAGCATTGTAACATTTATTGTTTAATTGTTTTTATAATGTATCTGGTAGAAAGCTAAACGTTTTCCAATGCCTTTATCTTTATTTTTGAGTAATAACCATAAATCCGAACAATAAGACTTATGGTGCTTCTGTCTGCTGATAATTAAAAATGAATACTTAAAACTTGACCAATTTAAAATGTTCTCTTGTTTGTTTCAGGGAAACCTTTACCATTTTCTCGGGCGGCATGCCCTCGGAAAAGGGCTCCAAGTCCAACTGCATCACGGTGATGGTGGGCAAGGCCACTACGGTGCTGGAGATGGAGCACGCCGTATGCGATTTCATAACACTCTGCGAGAATCCGTGGCCCTGCGGTAAGTATTAATAAAAATGTATTAAGAAAAATAGTTAAAATCAAGAATTACAAATTTAAAAATATATTATATATAGAAGAATATTATATAAAAAATATAACATACAAAAAATAACATGAATAAAAAATATACAATGTAAAAAAACAAAATATATTAAGGACTCAAAAGAAACATCATAATTAAATAATAAATAGCATACAATAATAATAGCATAGAAATACAGAATTATATTATTCAAAGTAGACAATAATGCCATCATTTATAAAGAAGTATCTTGTCTACAGATATACATATATCATAGTATTTTAGATTTCATTTCTAGTTTACATATTTTGTAATGATTTACTAACCATGATTTTGGTTTTTTTTTTCTTAACCCTTTCAGAGACCCAGGAGCCGTATGCTATTGCCGTGCTGCTGCAATACGACTTAGTATTAATAGACTTATTAACACCCGGTTTTCCATGTTTTGAATCGCCTTATCCAATGGACTTACACGAATCACCTGTTACATGTTGCACATATTTAACCGATTGCCCATCGGATTTGGTTCCTGCTTTCTATTCAGTAAGTTTTTACTGCCATTTGTAAACCTTTATCAGTTGAATAACCTTGGTGTTTTATGGCAATCTCAGGTTGGTCGCACAACGACAAGTAAAAAGAGCTGCTTCTCGGAGCGCGAATGGCCGATATCCGGTGGCGAGTGGTCGCCGGCGTCGTGCAGCTATTCGGAGATCGTGATCACCGGACACCAGGACGGCAGCCTCAAGTTCTGGGACTCCGGTGCCGGCACGCTACAGATCCTCTATAAGCTGAAGACGGCCAAGATGTTCGAGAAGCCGCGCTCCCACGTCGCCCACTCGCATCCGGAGAGCGACAATCCGCTGGCGGTGCACCTCATCTTCCTTTGCTCGGAGTCGCGACGCCTCTGTGTGGCCGGCGCCATGGGACAGGTGATGCTGTTCAAGTTCCGCAAGGTGGAGTCCACGTCCGAGGTACTGGTCCTTGAGATACCCATACTCTATGAGAATTTTGATGACATCTATGGGACGAGTCCCGAGTGCGATTTTCTAACGGGCCATCAAGTGCAGAAGGCGGAGTCTAGTGATTCGGATAAGGTATGTTAGGTTGACCCTTCTACTTAGTTTCCTACTAACTTCTTGATCTTTTTGTTTTTATTCACCACAGACAACCGAGTGTTCGCTGAAGGTGCGCTTTGGGGCGCAGCGCAAGCCGCCGGGCTTCCAGTCGCAGCTGGTCTGCCTCACCACCGGACCCAATCGCCGGAATGTGCAGGTCACCTCGCTGTGCATCAGCTCCAGTTACGGCCTGTAAGTAGTGTAGCTGCTGCTGCTGCTGCTCATGCTGCTGCTGTTGACACCCATCCAGTCACCGGTCATCCCATTATCCCATCATCCCCGAGACACTCGCTTCGATCCATCCGACCATCCAGCGATCCATCTGCCCATCGATCCAGCCACACACGTACACACACCACCACCAAAAAAAGCCCACCTAGCTGCCCCCACCGCCAACAAGAACCAGCCAAGAGCCAAGCCACCCAACCACCCACCAGACAAAGGACACAGGAAAGCGGACTTAAAAGATACTAGCTCCCAAGAAACCTGCCCCAAAAAAAAAAATACTTAGACGTAGTCTAGTTTGTATTCGTATATGCATGACGTTCTCTGAAAAGCGCCTGAGACGTAGCCGCTAACGCTCGACGAGTGTTCTAGCTCGCCCTTTGACCCCCTGCCACGCCCCCCTCTCCAGCCCGCCTACGCCTCTGCCCAGCCCCCCCAAAGGAGCACCGCTTTTGTTGAATTTGTTTGCGTTGTGTATTCCGTAGTATGCAACAGTTGCAAGCAGACTGCTAACCAAAAACCAACGTCCCTTGGTAATTACAACCACCCAAAGTCCTGGACAGATTGGTGACCTCTTGACCCCTTGACCCCTCTTGTCTTCCTGGACTTAAAAACCGTATCCCCTCCCACCAGACTGCCTTAAAAGCAACGAACTCAAGACTGACTTATGATCTTACTGACTTACGGATCCGTATTTTAGTGCCTGGTGTGTGCGCGTGTGTGAGAGTGATGATGCGCATCAAAATAATTCATTTGTCTTTCAGTTTTCGTTTATTAAAGGTTTCGTTTTTGTGTTTCGGTAATTATTATTATTGTTTATTTTTTAAAAAAATATACTTTAAATTTCGTTTTGAATTAATGCTAATTAGTATTTTGGTATTTTTTGAAATTTATTTTACTTTAGCTAAGCACTGTAGTTTGCTTTTGTATTCATTTTTTCTTATGCACACTTCTTATGCTCTTTTTAGTATTTTTCAAATATATTATAACCACTTAAGTGCAGATTTCTGTTAGTAAATACCATAAATTAATAGAGTAAAAAAAATAGTAAAACTTTAATGCATTATTGTAGTATTTTTGAAAGAAAAGCATATCTGATTGATATTTTGGTATTTCATACAGCTTTTTCATATAATTTGATAAATATTTTTTTTTATTATTCAGTTTTACATTTATTTTTTAGTCATTTTTATTTGTATCAATTTGTTTGGTTTCTTTTTTGGTTTTTATCCCCACAAAAATTGTTTTCTCGCATTTGTTTTGTGACGTTGATTTGTATGCAGTTGATTTTGGAAATATATATGAATATTTTCTGTTTTTAGAATGGCTTATGGTACCGAATATGGACTTGTCATAATTGATATAATCCAAAAAATTTGCCTATTGAGTGTTGCATGCCCCGATCTGTATGGCGCACATGATCCTTACTCGCGAACACCAAAAAGTCCAAAACGCATTGAGAACAAAGAGGAGCAAAGCCGATCGCCCAGCTCAGATCAGGTAAGTGCCCTCGCTCTCTCTCTCTCTCTATCTCTCTGTCTGTCAGTCTCTCTGTCTCTCTCTGCCACCGAGACTAACTATTTGTAACCGAATCGCAGTGAACCGCGCCTACAAACATACACTCGAACCCATACAGAACAAACACATAGACAGACCAGATGATTGAATTCGCAATTGATTTGAATTGAAACACAACCACACTGAAAACACAGACAGACCAGATAATTCGAATTTGCAATTGATTTGAATTGAAACACAGCAACACTGAGAACACTGACAGACCGAAAAGTACGCTGTCATAGTGTGCTGACATTCCCACACCGACCAACAAGTGCTCAGCTCATTTGAACATGCTACATACTCAATATTTTTCTAGACATCTTACATATATTTGAACTTTATATGCATACCGATATTTACTTATTACATAAAGAACGAAATTTTAATTACGTATCGCATACTAACAAAAAAATACAAAATTGATATATACATTATAATCTATATATATATTTAAACATACTCGTATTGTATGAGCTAACTTTAAAAAATTGTAGCCAATGAAACTTTTGTTTTGGTTTGTGTTTTTTGTTTTCGTTTTCCCTTTAGTTAACCTATCGCTATATCTGTCTCGCTGTCACCTTATTGCATTTTTGTGGCATTTTCGTATTGAATCCGATTGAATCCCACACCAGTAATTAGATCCCCGTCCATATATATATACACACACACTCCCACATGCAAGCAAGCAAGCAAATATAACCAACATATAGCTGAATATCTAAGAGAATAAGAAACTATAAACAAATAGCTATAGTATAGCTTGGTATTTGCTATCAAGTTTTTTTTCGACGTACTATAAACTAGCTCTTTCCCAGCAAATAATCTCTCTTCTATCTTCCAAACAACTAACTAGCCATCCCGCTCTAACTCTATACCATACTGCTATAGTTTTCTCCAAACTTAACCACTAACTAACGATCCCGCTCTAACCTTTAATTGGCTGTTAAATTTCATTGTTTTCTTTTAGTATTTTCTGTCCAGTTAAAACTGGCCACACTTTCCCCTCTCTCTCTCTATCTATCTATCTCTGTCTCCGTTTCCTGGTCTATATCTGTCTCTGTCTCTCTCTAAGTGAACGCACTAAGTGCAGCATGGTAAAAATCATATTTACGTTGATGTTAAATTTTTTTTATGAGTTTGCACGAAGCTTGCCTACGATATGATGAATTGATTAATTGATTTGGATGGATTGGTGTTTTTTTCGTGCTTCTTTGCCCAAGACCATCGCATAGACACGATTGATCGCTTTGATTGTTGTACATGTAAATGTGTGGTATGATCCGATACCGATTTAAACTGATTTCCCTCCGATTCGATTCGGTTCGATTTGCGTTGATTTAATCTGAGTTGTGCCTGAAAAACAAGAGCCTAGCGAACACCCAAGAAACAATTACAACTGAAACAACATTAACAACAGCAACAACAAAGATATGTTTCTCCTCCTCTCTCTGCCTCTCTGTACCTGTCTCCCTTTCTCTGTCTTTGTGTGCTAACTCATTGATTGATAGAAGATTGATGATGTGTATGATGTGTGTTATTTTCTTTTACTTTGTCACCTATCTTAAAAACACTCTGTAACATAACCAACCAACCACCCACTCACCACCACCACCAATGCAGCTAACAAATTATCCAACGTTTGATATACATTTTTTACCTAATTCGAACATATAATTGATTGTAGTTCATTTCTTAAAATTTATATTCCAAATCTATGCTTATCCGAACATAAAATCGTTGTATTGCCTGTGCGTGTGTGTGTGTGTTTGTGTTTGAGTTTTGCCAATGCGTATGTGTTTGTGAATGTGTGAGCGTGTGTGTTGTTGTACACACCCACACCTAGCATCAAAATTGTTATACGACTCAAGTATGACATCTAACTAAGCTGTTGCCTAAAGTTAAACCCTCATCCAATGTTTGTTAGCCCAAAAAAAAAAAACAAATAAACTAAAAAACAAGCTTAAATTGTAAATTGTTGATCCCCCAAATATCCTCTTAGCCACCCCAATAAACCCCGTTTAGCCCCTGTTTATCCTTGTAAAATAAAATACATACCAAACATACTCCATAGAAGGAAAAATTGGAGCAAACCAAAAACGCAAAATAGCAGCAACAAGAATGCGCAGCTTCCATCCCCCTGAATTCAAAAAATGGAACGGGGTAAAACGGCCAAGCATGTTAAAATTTATTTCCCACTCTTTCATGAACTCATTCTTTGCCTTTTGCGCTTTTCATGATTTATACTTCATGACCTACTTCAATCTGCAATTTAAAAAAGCCACGAACGACATAGTATTTGTACTGTAATAAGCAGCTTGTGCATACAGGCTTTGTTAAATCTTTAAAGATTTCCATGACGGTTCCATACATTTTTCAAACTGCCATTCAGTTTGAACTTTAAAATTAGAGCTGTTTGTAAATAAAGTCATATATCTTATACTGCTTTACGGGACCTGAGAAAGATCGAACAAAACATCAGATATGGCACCCAAACATGGATTAAATGTCGCTATATAAGCTCCAAGTCAATCCAAGTTAAAAAATGTAAAGCAAATCTTAAATATTTACTCAAACTCTCTATCTCCCTCACAAAAGTAGCCCATGACCCATTTAATTTTATTAATAATATATGTTAAACGGAATTATTTGGTTCCCAACTACTAATGAAGCAACTGAAAGCTTACTTTGGAACAATTTTGGGCACTACTAATGAAGAAATGGTTATGACTATATGCATCAGAAATTTGATGAACAATTGTATAAAAAGCTATGATGTAATTACTTACACCACAATTTTGTGCTGTGATCTTTTTTTAATTACTTTTATTTTCAACTTCGTTCACATTTTACTCATCCCTCTAATTGTTGCTGCTATATTTCTGCACATTTGGACTTGCTCAGAAAATAAAAGGGAACAAATTAAACAGAAACCAAAACAAAAACCTACAAGAAAAAACCCAGTAACCCAAAAAAAAAAAAACAAGTGAATGTTAACCCCTTAATCTCCCCAAAAGCCCCCCAAATTTCCTTCTCCGTCGAAACTGACCACTACTTTTCTTATTGTTGCCTGAACGAACAGAAACAAAAACGAAAATTAAAACTCTGCCCCCTACCCCCAAAAAATCCCGATCTTCATCTAGCTGAACGACACGACCAGTCCGGATAGTCCGTCGCTTGAATTTGTACCGGAGGCGGCCGGCGAATCAACGGGCAACGATGGCGTGGCGACGGCGATGAGCTCACGTCCCGGTTCACCGGATCCAATGGTGGTGAACAGTGCCCGTGAAACACTGCTCAGCGGATCGGCGGCATCGACGGCGGCTGCAGCAGCATCGGCGGCCATGATGGCCAAGAGTCCCCAGCGGGATGATGCGGCTCCCAAGGAGCTGCAGGACAGACGCAAGTCGATGTCCTGGAAAACGTTCAATTTGAAGCGTCAATTATCGAAAGTCAATATGAAAATTGGTGGTCTGAATGTCAACACCGATATGGAGTCACTAAAGAATAACTCCATTTTCTACACACCCAAGGAGGTGTCACCGGAGGGTGCAACGCCACCGGCGACTGAAGAGGAGGCGACACCGGAGGGCAGAGAGGAAGAGTCGTTGGATGACGCTGAAATGGCGCCCAACACAGGGGCAGGGGCAGCAGCAGCAGCAGCACCTTCACCATCGTCGGCAGTTCGTGGCAAATTTCGATCCTCCACCACCGATTCGCCAGACGAGGGCGCTAGTGGCAGCAGCACCATCGCCACCACCGGTGGCATTCGTCGCGTTGACTTTGAACAGCCGGCTGCGATGGAGGTGGAGCGCCCCAATAATTTGCCCCTGACGGATGCACCTGCTCCGCTGAAGCCCGCCCGCCAAAAGTTCAAGGAGAAGTCGCGCGACCAGCGGCTATTGTCCGTACCGAACATTAAGTATCAGCCGCGCGATTTGCGCGGCGGTGTGCGCACCCTCAAGAACGATGTCTCGCCGTTGATGGGCGGTGGCGGTGGAGGTGGCGTTGCCAGCGGCAGCGGAGGAGTTGGTGGGAGCGGCGTTGGAGGCAAGAAGATACGTAAGTATGGCCCCAGCGAAGGATCACAAGCCCCTCTTACCCGTTTAACCAAAAAAGAGAGTGCTTAAAATATCTAAACGGCAGCAGTTAACCAACCCCCCCCTTTTCCGTAAAATGTTTATGCAGAGCGAGCGAGCGAGCTTTTTACTGAGTGATCGCAAGGCAGGCAGACAGAAAGTGAATCAGGAATCCGAATCGGAGGATCGGAACTGTAATATTGTCCCATCTTACAAAGATTTTACTGCGTTTATGCGATGGTTTTCGGGCGCATTTGTAGTTAAAGCGGAATCTTACAGATGGCGCCCGAAAAGGCTTCTCATGTTGGGCAAGGACAGCAGTTTTAATATACTTTTAAAGATACTACTACCTTTAAATTCCAATACAGCACTTAGGGTTACAAAAATCAGTGACTAACAAAACAAAATCATGTTCTGACATGCAGATTTTAAACACCTTATAATAGGATTATTTTTAAGATTAAGGGGTTAGGGTTTCGCATAATGAGTGCCGCATAAGCGCAGTATTTCCGCCCTCGACGTTGCAAGTGATATCTTCTCTCTCTCTCTCTCCTCTTAAAACCTTCTCCCACCCAGTCCTCCCTCTGTCTCACTTTCTCCGCTCCCCCGAAAATCGGCGTTCTGTCGTCGTTTCTGTTTGGGTTTTTCACTTTCTATTTCGTTTTGTGTTGTGCCTTTGCTTTTTGTTGCTTTTAGTTGCTGCAAGCTGTAGAAAATAGCAATACCAAATGAGATACAATTGTAAACTTAGCACCCCCGTTCCCTTGACCACTCGTCCCTGTTCCCAAAACCTTGCCCCCTAAAATAAAGCAGCTAGAAATGTGCATATCCCAAAATCGGGTATTGATATGAGAACCGAACAATAACAAAGAATCCGATGATGCTTGTTTTGTTGATTTTTGAAACAAAAACAAAAACCAAAATTGCATTTTGTGTATAGAGCTTACTTTGTAGAGAGTTAGCTAATCAAAACAACAACTAAAATCAAGTAAAAGTAATAGTAAATATATAAATGTAAAACCAACCGACAAAAACAACTAGAACAGCAATCTACAACCACAACGTGATGCAATAACAACAGCAACCAACAACAAATTCACATACGCACCCAACCAAAACAAATTACAATAACTAAAACCGAAAAAAATACAACAACAAAAATAGAAAACTTACAAAGAGTACAAATTTTTGCCAAAAATTTCTTATCTATGCTTCTTCTTCTCCTCAATACCTAGGCGTCGGATGCAGAAGAGCTGCAATACAACTGCCTGTATGTGATTGTATGGAAGTTCTTTGGTAAATCATTTAACAACCACAACCACCACCACAACAACAACAACACCACCACCACCATCATCACTACCACAACTCACCAGTCACCCCAAACACAAGAACAACAACAACCACCACTAACAAGCACCATCACACCCACATACAAAGTGTAACTATAAAGCTCTCAATTAACTAACTACTCAGTATGCAAGAAAAACACCACATTACACATATGTATACATTATAAGTTATAAGAGATCAATGTAAAGCGGGTGCTGTAGGCCAAACACAACACACTGAAAGTTTCACCAATCACCCACACCACAAAACTCACCACACTCCATATGTATGCACTGTGCAAAGAGAAAGTGCATTGAAAATGTAATCAAAATCGAAAAACCCAAAAACGAAATGTTGATTGTTGTACGTTGACCACTGTGACCCGTGTTAGTTTATAAGGTCACCACTCGAACATAACCTCACATAAACACACTGAAAGATAAATCAGTACGCAATTAAGTGAGGGTAAATTTATTTGCTCAATGTCTCCTGGTTGCAATTTGTTGATCGATGCCACTTTGAACTACTTGTTGACAAAGTTCGATTGTAAGGTTAAGCTCCAATGTTGTGCTCCCATCGATGTTTTCAGTCCCGATTCTCGCCCCCTCAAGACCCACGCCCCAACGCCCCTGGTTGTATTTTCTACTATCGATGGCCGTGTCCATTTGCTATCGATAATTTAGGTTATTTCCATGATTTTTCTTCTACGTTCTGTTAAAAATTATATTCGTTTCGATTGTTCCATTGAATGTGTGTTTTGGCTATCGATAAGCAAATTTACCGTTGCCTTTATGCCTTTATTTTCGTTACCGATTTTGCTTAGCGCTTTACCCAACTTTACAATATCTCACTTGTACATAATTACAATACCAACCAATTCAAGATGTTGAAAAGTGATGAAGAGAAATCTATTAACTAAGCTAAAACACATATATATATAACTAAATACTTTTATATCGATTATTCATTTGTATCAACAGCTAATATATCCACCTACATAACAATATGTCTACCTACATATATGTCTACCTCTCGTTCTAACCTGAGACCCACCAACGTTTATTCGCTCTATATATCTGTCTAATCTCTCTCTATCTCTCTGTCTCGCTCGTACTTTTGTTAAACTTACACATATTTCATAACATAACATACATTTGCCAAAAATAATCTACTCCAATGTTATCCTTGCTATGATCACCTAAATAATTATTATCGTGTTCTTATTGTGTATTATGTTTATCACTGCCAATCAAGCCACCCAATCAATGTCACCCACCCACCACCACTGCAACGACGCCTCCGTTTCTCGCTGTGTAACCGTATTTGTGTTGTGATCGAATACTCGATTAATCGATAACTTGTTAAGCGAATATTAAATGTAAACACACATACAAATTGCACTGATCACCAAAATTTAATCGTCATTCAACGCTTTTGTATTTATCACAATTCAATCAAAACTATTACATCTTGTTTGCTTTGCACCTGAAACGAAACGATTAACGACAAACGATAAACGATTAGTGGACACTATTGTAAATTGATCAAATAACAAAACACGCACTCTAAACTACAGGGATCGCTTGCTACTCAGGACGAATTATGCTTACGTTTTTATTTTATTTTAATCTGTTTTGCTTATGTGTATTTAACTTTTCTTATCTAGAAGAACTTTCAATCAAATAAAAATCGAGTAAAAAAGACTGATTTACTGATCAAATTGAAAAGTAAGTTTTTCATTTTACTATAATTTAATTCGAATACAGGGTTAAAATCAAAGTCGTAAAATTTGTTAAGTTTGTATGTACTAGAAGATCCATAACTAAAGGTATTAAACGCATTTTAAGTTGACGGATATAAAATGTAGAGAAAATAGACTATTAAAAAAAAAATAGCCCTTTTTTCTTTTTAATACAGTAGAAAATTGGCTGTAGCTTAGGTTGAAAATTGGTAAATTCTATTCAAAACTTAATTTTTGGTAAAAACGTTTGAAAAATTCATTTAGAAAAAAGGCATATGGCTATAACGTTTTTAAAAAATCTTCAGTTAAACTTGGGAGACGCTTTAAAACTTAATTAACTCCCAACCTCATAACTGTAAATCAAACTATAAACACTATTTAAGTTGTCCTTTGGGTCACATCTATTTGAATATTATCAAATTAAAAGTTAGCCAGCCTTCACTGTACATAAACTCACTAAAAGTTGTCCTTATTTGCACACTAGTTTCGTTAACCTTTATGTTGAGCGTCTCTGAAAAGTATGTAACACACCCGTCACTAACACGCACACCAACACAGATATCACACATACACCTACCCACTCGGCACAAAATAGAACAACAGAAGAAATTGCAAAAAGAAACGGAAACCAAACTCGAAAAAACCAACGAAATGTGAAAGAGATGGCCATTCAATCATTTAGTGCATTTATCTCTCTGTCTCTCTCTGTCTTTCTCTCTATCTCTCTCTCTCTATCTCTGACTATGTGTGTGTATCTCTCTATCTCTCTCTCCCGTGTCTCCCACAATTATTGTTTATGTATATTTTGCAATTGCCCAGATCAACGGCAGCGGAGTTGCAACTGCAACACCGCAGCAGCAGCAGCAACAACAACAGCAGCAGCAGGTATCGCAGCAGCAGCAGCAACAGCAACAGTTGCAGTTACAGCAGCAACAGCAGCAGCAGTTACAACAGCAACAGCAGCAACAATCGATGGGTGGTGGCCCTGATCCTGGTGATCATGCAACATCGTCGTCAGCGGCAGCGGCAGCAGCAGCAACATTGGGATCCTCCGGGATTTACGGTGCAGACGATGCAGGTGCGGGTGTTGCTAGTGGCGGTGTCGGTGTTGGTGTTGGTGGTATTAGCAGTGCGATTAGCGGTGGATTTGGTGGTGCGGCTGAGCCGCAACAGCAGCAACAGGTGCCGCAACAGTTGCAACAGCAGCTACTACAGCAGCAATCGCAACAGCAGCAATCGTTTGAGGCGTCTTGTGATCCATGGGGCGGCGAGTGCGGTGGTGGTGCTAGCAGTGCTATTGGTACTATCGGTGCTGGCGGCGGCGGTGGTGCAAGCGGTGGTGGTGGTGCTAGCGGTGCAGGTGCGCAACAACATCAATATCAGCATCCGTATCCGCATCCGCATCCGTATCCGCATCAAACATCCGTTATACAGCAACAGCAGTCAGTGACATCGTACGAGTCCCTAAAAAAGTCCAAATCACAAGGTGGGAGCACAACAGAGCACTACAGAAAAAACAACAACAGCTAACAGCAAACCACTACAACAACAAATAACTGCAATGAATACAAGCAACAACTACTACAGCAACCAAAAAAATACCAAACAGCAACAAATAACAACCAACAAAGAAAACAGATTGCACCTCTAGTCATGAAAACCAAATTGCATTTTTTTAAGTGTACCACACACACAAACACATCCTATATACAGTTGAACTTCTCTATTGCGACCCTTTTGTAAAGTTTTCATAGCAACACGTGTTATTGCCAATGTAGTATGGAAATGCGGATCTTAGTCATTAACTCGAATTTTCTTGAAAGGACTTAAGCTGGTTGTAAACGGTGAAGCGGCAGCCTTGCGGAATATCAGAAGTTCGACTGTATCGCTGACTCTCTCTCCTCTCTCTTTGCACACACACACACCGCATACGCACACATCCAAGCACACGCACACACACACGTAAATATGGACAGCAGACGATGCACGTTGCTTGTGGCCCCGCCCCCTTTCTCTGTATGTGTGCGTGTCTGTCTGGGTTTTTTGGTGTGTGTGTGTATTGAATTTGGAATTTTTGGAAATTTTCGGTACATTTTGTTTTGATTTCTTTTGTGTTTTTTCAGTCATTTGTTTATTAGGGTTTTTGAGGGGGGGCGATGGCTGGAGCTGTCTGTCTTTTTCTCGCTCGTTCGCTCGCTCGCTCGCTCTCTCTCTCTCTCTTTCTCTGTCTTTCTCTAGCCCTAGAAAACAATCTAGTAATAACAGTGCATATAAATATGTTCTCTCAATCTGACTCGCTCGCTCGTTCGCTCTCTGCTCGCTGTCTCTTTCTATACTCTTACTTTCTCTATTTTTCCTCTACCTCTTTGCTACTGTCTCCCACTATATCTGTCTCTTTCGCTCTGTGTCTCTATCTCTCTCTCTCTCTCGGTATTTGTATTTGCATTTGGCACGCTTTGAACCAGAAATATGAACGTTAAAACCGAATAACTAAACCAAGAATTAGACTAACCGGATTTCTATAAAAACATAGATACATATGGAAAAGAGTACAACAAGATCTGATTTTTTATTGGCAAAAACTAAACTTTCGCATAGTACACACACACATACTGCATACGGTTACAAGCACACACATATACACACACCCATACAAACGCCTAGCTGAGCACACATGCAAGCAAAGTTTCACTCGTCCTTTTTTTTTGAGTTTTTTTTTCGTTATTTAGTCAGACGCCTGCAGCTTTCTAAATTGCACCACAGAAAAAAAATGCTGAATAGAAAAGTCAATTAAAAAATGTAAGAAATAATAGTCGCTCGCTGGTGTTAAAAATTGAGAGTCTCATCTATATCTAAACTAAATTATTTGCCTATATAAAACCAAAAAAAATTTCTTGTGTACAAAAAATACGGTCACATTAAAATATTCAAAACCTTCTTAAAACACTTAAAAGCACTGGATTCAATTTTTTTCAACAATTATAATTAAATCAAATTATTGTTAAAACGAATTGGCCTACTAATTAAATTATGAATGTAAATTATTTACACATGTATAAACATTTGATAATGAACTTAAATTTTGTATGAACCTAAACCTGAATTTCTAAAGCTGATGTGCTATAACTAACTTTCCGCAGAAATGCGGAATATTGTTAATAATCTTTTATGATTTTTAATATTTTTAAAGTTAGTCGATATTTCAATTATTATTTTTATAAACAATAAGTTTGCTTCATAAATTTAGCTTTATGAATAACATGAACTGCTTTTCCAGTGCCATTTGGTAATTCAAATAAAATAATATTTTAATTAAGCGAGCGGCTGATGCAAACATTAAAAAAAAACACACACACACATACACATGCAATTCACACATAGAGCAACTACCAATAATTAGGCAGCCTAGCGGTAAATTTAGTGTTGTGCAGCGCAAAAACAACATAGTGCAAAAATCGCAATTAAAATAACTTAATTAGAAAACAAAGCAAAAATTCAATTAAATATCTAAGCAAAAGTTTTGCCTACTACCGCCCGCCGCTTTTACTCTCTCTCTCTCTCTCTATCTATCTCTCTTTATCACTCTATCTCTCTCTATTTCTATATCCGCCTGTCTCTGTTTCACAATATTTTTTAAAATATCTAACGATTTTGATGTAACTCGCGTTTATTTATCTCTCTCTCTCTTTCTCCTATCTATATGCCATCCACCAAAAAAAAAAACCAATTTCTGATCCCCAAAACCAAACCCGAATAAATTACAGAAAAATTGGATGGAACTTTCTCAAGATCCAGATCATCGTCAATGTCCAGCATTGATATGTCTTCCTCTGAATCTGTTACCTGTTTAGCTTTTATCGAGAGTTATGCAAAACGAAATGGTAAGATTAATCGGTGCCAATTGAAATTTTAATGATATAAATTAAATGTATTGTATTCTTTTATAAAGATATTTTGACACTTGTTCCTACTTTGTGGATTGGAACTAGTTTCGGTTCGATACTGACATTGTTCATCACCATGCCGGAGCGAGATGTGCGCAAATCTCAGCCAGTATTGATAACAATAAATGGTGAGTGCTGAAAAATACGTGGGCATGCAATTACGCCCAGGGAAGTAACGCCCTATGAAATTACGCCCAGTAAAAAAACGCCCTATGAAATAACGCCCAATGAAATAAAGCCAAATCGAATACCGCCCATGGGAATAAAAGAAAAAACAACAATTACGAAAGAAGTATAATTAAACTAAACATGGGCGTTATTTCACTAGGCATTATTTCAACCGGGCGTTATAGCATCCAATAATTTCAAATTTTATTGTATGGATCTAAAGAAAAAAAAAAAAAAAAAAAAAAATATACTTAAGGCCACGTAGCTATAGCTTAATTTAAGTTCGCCTGTAAATTTTACATTATAGTCGAACATTTTATAAACCCTTTTGGAGATTTAAAAAATGATACAATAGAGCGATGATTTGATTGAAACTTTCTTTATCTGGTCGATTTAAGTGAATTGTCTTCCAAGCTACCTATATAATCTGTAATCTATAATGAAACATATGTTTATATTCTTTCAGGTGGCCCCGTGGTACGACTCAAAGGATCCATAACTTCCATGTCTTTTTTAGACTCATACGGCTCGATCATACCCTATACGTTTGAGACCTGGCGTGACGAGAAGAGGGACAACAAAGACCGTAAGCCAGGCGACCTACAATCGTTGCCCTTCACCTGACTAATCCCTATATATACCATTATATACCATATTATAAAGGCACACCCACAAAGAGCAGCAGCCGCACCAGTCCCACATTCACACCGACAACTGCCAATACAATATCAAACACCTCGGTCGCTGGCGGCATGGCGGGTGGTGCGTCCGCCGGCGGAGCTGTCGGCGGCGGCGGCGGTGGTGGTGGCGCTGCCGGTGGTGCGGCAAGTGGCGGAGCGTCCGCTGGCGGAACAGGTGGCGGCGGTGGTGGTGCAGCTGGTGGTGGGGCATCGGCGGGAGCGGCCGGGGGCAGTGGAGCGGCCACCGGCGGCGTCGGCGGCGGAATGAGCAGCAGCAGCGCCAGCAGCAGCGGCATCAGCGGAAGTGTGAGCACCGGCCTGGAAACTCTCACCGATCGACAATACATCGTTATCGCTAGCGAGAAGCAAACAAAAGTCTTCGATGTGGCCAACCAGTGCTGCATCAACCGCATACAACTATCGGAAATGGATTTTGCAGTCAAGGCAGAAACTATCACGATGAAAGGTACCGGCTATTTGGAGTTTGGCTGGGTCTAAACGATGCAGCGGCGTCTATGAACGGCTTTTTATTGAGTACACCCATACAAAATATAAAAAATAATAAGTTTTAATTTTATTTACAATTTAATACTTTTTGTCTGTGTGGAAACCTACTTTAATTTCAACTTAATGCAAATTTTACTATTTTATATTTTTAACACAAACCTAAATGAGAATTGTAGCATAATAGAATTTTTATATAAATAATAGTTGATTACCTAATCCATTAATCAACATTCCTTTCATTTCAGATGGCTCTTGCTTAGCAACCTATCTTTCGAATGGCCATCTAATGGTACATAGTCTTCCTAGTCTAAAACTGTTATTGGATACTGATTTCTTACCGCTCTTGGAACTAAGGTGAGTCGCAACTAATAAGCTCAGTTACCCCTTTTCCCCCGTACTAACATTCTGCCCTTTGCTTAGTTTTCAAACAAAATGTAAACAGGGAATTGTGGATCCAATGCTTTCGATATGGGGTCAACAGATCATTGTTCATGAAGATACAACTCTGTATGTTTTGGGGGTTCGAAGGCTTTAAGGCCTTATGATACTTGCTTGGTTTTTGACTAATTGACTGGATTTTTATTTATTAAGTCGTGGCTTCCTAAATATGATTTAATATATTATTAAATAAAATATTGTTAGGTTGCCATGACTTTATACATATGTCAAGTCAGTCAGTCAAAAATGAAGGCAGTGTCTTAGGGCCTTAAATTATGTGATTGTACTTTATACTTTTCTTCTTTCTTTTCCACAGAATATCAAAAATATTTTGCTTTAGTCATAAAGGTCATGGATTGTACATGGCATCGCCCACCGAAATTCAAAAATTCACGATATCATCGGAATTTTGGTAAGCCTATAAACTTAAGATCGATTCTTCGAAAACAGAAAAAATACTGAAAAATACCATCAAAATTCAATAACAAAACGACTGATTTCGGAAACCAATGTCTATTAATCAAATAATATATATAAATTACCATAATTAAGTAGTGAAATAATTATAAATTATTTGATCTCTAAATGTGTTACACTTTAAAAAATGTTTATCTTAAATAAACATACAAAAACTAAAATGTTAGCCTTATATGCAGAAAAAGATCCATTTTATAGTATTATTTTTGAGCCAAAAATAAATTTAATAAATAAATTCATATTTAATTTTGGGCTTAGTAAATAATATTTTCTACTTAAACTTTATTCAATTAAAATAGATGAATAATTAATTTATTCATATAAAATAAATTAATAATTTGTTTGTTCATATAAAATCAATTATTTGGATTTCGTATGATGATACTAATTCGAATTTACTTATTTTTGCAGTCAATTTATTTTGGAGATGATGGGTGAGCTGTATACGGTACACGAAATGCCCGAACAGCCGAAGGAGGGTTTCTTCAAGGGTCTATTTGGCGGCGGCGCCAAGCTCCTGGATCGTGAGGAGCTATGTGAGTAGATGCCCCTAAGAAACACTTTCCAAAAATAAAACTAATGATCAATATTTCAATATTTTATAGTTGGCGAGCAGAGCGGGAGGGCGAATCGATCGGTGGCCCGGCACATACCCGGGCCCAATTTGGAGCAGCTCGGCCAGAGGGCTTCCACCGCCGCATCGGAGATCAGCCGGGCGCACCAGCTGGCCATGGAGCGCGGCGAGAAGCTCAATTTGCTGGAGGAGCGCGCCGAGCGCATGGCCAACACTGCTCAAGATTTCAGCGGCACTGCGCATCAATTAATGCTTAAATATAAAGACAAGAAGTGGTATCAGTTGTAAAATATCTATTTTAGGAGCCAATTCTACCACAGTTATTGTAATATTGCTTTTATAACACTTTCTACTACATTACGAGTAAAGTACACTTATTTAATTTCTGTTTTCAAGTCGTCACGTTATTTACAAAAACCGAAAACCAACAAAAAAAAATCAACAAAAACCGAAAATTCACAAAACAAAAAAAACTGAAAGAGAAAAACCAACCAAAAAAAACTGTTTTTAATAAAAATATATAGACCAAAAAACAGGCACTATGGCGTATTTTTTGATTAATGGTTAAACGTTTGTTTTACTTTTGAGTGTTAGAAATTAAAAGGGATACAAACTAGAAGGGCTTGATTTGGGGAACCTTAATATGGGCAATGCTAAGAAGAATTGGGTAAGAAAGTAACTTAAAGCAACATTGCCAGAGAAAATATACATATCCGCAGTTGTCAAGCTCATCTATCGTCGTTATCATTTTCATCTTTTGTTTCTAAATTAAATTCTGATTGTTACCTATGACTCCATAATATTTTGTTACTTTTCTAATGTTTTAATCTGACATTAGTTTTTATTTTAATTATTTAGATAATTCACAAAACTCTAGTACAGAAAATCGTAAACAGCCTAAATTTCCAACATGTAAGTCGGTTACGTATCCAAATGGATCCTAAGATTAGCTAGTTTTTCTTAAAATAGGATATAAAACTGGAACTAAATTCCGTGAATCAATATAATTTTCAGAAGATACTGAACTTCAAACATTTGTAAAAGGTGCATGTCTCTTCCAACCAAATATTTATTTACTAACTATGTCATTTACTAACTATTTCTACGAAAAATAAAGTAATAGTCCTTGGAAACATACTTAAATATATAAAAAAAAAACATTTTGTTAGGAAATTGTATTTGGATTGCTAGTTATATTTAATTAAATTGAATTTTTTAAACCAGAAGGGAAGCTAATATCGGCAAGGAAGAAGTTTTTTTTTTTAAATGCAAAACATTTTAAATTTACAACATCAAGAAATTTAATAATGTTAATCAATTTATTGCATTTTTACCATATTTTAGATACTGTTGGCTAACGAAAATACATTAAACCACAAGACCGTTTAAAATTAAAAAATAAATAAAAATTAAAACCATTTTTGTAAAACAAATCTGATTGGACTTTTCTGTCAGATAAGAACTCCACACAAACAAAAACACACGACTAGAACGTATTTGCCAATTTGAAAATAGCGGTCACGAAACAGTGTTGAAAAGCGGCGCGCAGTAACCACCACGATTCCAATCGATAGTGTCGATAGTTGGCAAAACTATCGCCATATATACCCCAATACCCAAGACACACGCATACAGACGGACCTTGCGCAGATCTGGCCACACTAGACTAATGCAAAAGCATTTTTGCTGGAGTCTACCATTTTATTTTAGTTAATAAAATACATATATTTCCTCTCTTTTTGTTCCGTTTGTGCGCGTACGAATTAGCTGCAAAGGCCTCGCGTCCGACGTGCAATATTTATCGAACTGAGAAGTGCCCGCAAGAGTGGAAGGAAAAAGCGAAAAGAAAAGAAAACGGATCTGCGACGAAATTTTCCCCGTTCCGTTTTTTTTTTCTCCACCAGCAGAAGCAGCAGCAGAGGCAAAAGCAGCGCAGCCGAGAGCAAAAGCAGCGAATATATTTGTAAAAAAGAGCCCCAACCTTGAGAAAAAACACCCAGCAGGGCAGTAATTTGTTCGTTTTCTCGTCTGCGGGTAAGAATTATATTGTGCTGGCAGTGGGAAAAATGTGTTTGTTAAATATCCGCGAGGATCTTTCATTTTTTTCCCCCATTTCGTCCAGTTTCAAATGCGTGCTAAATATGCAAACGTGTGTGTGGTGGGCTGTTTGCCAGTGTGCGTGTCTCGCTGAGCGATGCATGTGTGTGTGTATGCGCGCCCGTGTATGTGTGCCTTCGAAATTTTCTTTTGTGTAAAACATTTGTAAGGTGCAACTGCAGTTGTGTGCGTGTGTGTGTATCACTCTGACTTCTGCTGTGGTTGTTGTTGTTTTTGTGCGTCATAGCAATGAGTGTGTGTGTGTGTAATATGCATTCCAACGGGGTAAGGAAGAAGAGAAAGCAGTACCTGTCGCCAATCTATCGTTTATCGATGTCTGTCTGTCTGTGTTTATTTATCCCTACTCCCCCACCCCAGGGAAAATCCCCCTCCCCCGCCCCCCCCTAACCCTGCACCAAAATGTGGATCGTCTGGTGAGTGTAATCGATAATGCAGATGTATCGATTGGACGAACTACTGGGTAGAAAAACACGTAAAGTGCAAGCTGCTGAAAAAAAGCAAAACAAATCCGAAAGAAGAGGAAGAAAGGTGGAAAAGAAAGTATAGACCCGAGCGGACGACAAAAAAACAGATCTAGTAACCTTAGTTAAAAGTCAGCTGGTCCGTAAATCTCATTCCGATTGTTATTAATGTTAATCGTCTCTGTTTTTGTTGAGGGCTCTATCTAAAACTCTCTAAACAGTCTCACTAAAACAGGTCTTAAAAAAATATATAAACCATATCGCTAAAGACAATCCATAATATTTGTACTACTCTCTAAAAAAAAGTAATCCACAAATTGCCAAACTAAAAAGTAACCTCAGTGTTGCAGGAATAATAATACAACTCTATAACAAGTTTATAAAAATATCATTTATATTTATATCAAAAACTAAACTAAAAAAATAATACAAATTTAAAATTTATAGTCCATGTTAAATCTGGTGTAGTTTTTGTGCGGTGTTCAATATCAAATTTCCTTTACAAATATACATCAAATGTCACATTTCTAATGTTAGGATCAAGTAACCCGTTCCTTAAATTAAACATCTGCAATACATAAATAATAACAAACTTATATAAACAATTGAAGTTGTAATAGAACACGATTTTCTGTTGACCAAAACATAAACAAAAGCTATATCTCAGATTTTCTAGGCATTCTTAACAGCTGTTTTTGACTTGTAATAGATCCCTTTTACGTGGCACTTCATCGAAAAACCCTTTATTGTTAGTATCATATCAAGATTGTTACTTTATGTGGGGCCAACTGTCAGTTTATTCCAATCGATTTTCATAGAATCAAAAGTGATTGGGGCTCAGAAGGTCTTCTGAAGAGAATATTTTGTTTAAATCAATCAAATAAACCATTTGATTACATTTTTGCATTGTATTTCTACAGTATTTCAAGTGATCCCGCACAACTGCTTTTAACGAGAAGCCCCTAGGTGGAGGAGCAGCTAGCCAAGATGGACAAGATGCGGATATTGAAGGAAAGTCGCCCCGAGATAATCGTCGGTGGCAAATATCGGGTGATCAGAAAGATAGGTGAGTAAACAGTCGGGATTGGATAGACCACAGTAAATCCCCTTCTTAACACTATGAAAAACCCACAGGAAGCGGCTCGTTCGGCGACATTTACCTGGGCATGAGCATCCAGAGCGGCGAGGAGGTGGCCATCAAGATGGAGAGTGCCCACGCCCGTCATCCGCAGCTGCTGTACGAGGCCAAGCTGTACCGCATCTTGAGCGGCGGCGTGGGCTTCCCCCGCATCCGTCACCACGGCAAGGAGAAGAACTTCAACACCCTGGTCATGGACCTGCTGGGACCCTCGCTCGAGGACCTGTTCAACTTCTGCACGCGCCACTTCACCATCAAGACAGTGCTGATGCTGGTCGACCAGATGATCGGTCGCTTGGAGTACATCCATCTGAAGTGCTTCATCCATCGTGACATTAAGCCGGACAACTTCCTCATGGGCATTGGTCGGCACTGCAATAAGCTCTTCCTGATCGACTTCGGGCTGGCCAAGAAGTTCCGCGATCCGCACACGCGTCATCACATCCTGTACCGCGAGGACAAGAACCTTACCGGCACCGCCCGCTACGCGTCGATCAATGCCCATTTGGGCATCGAACAGTCGCGCCGGGACGACATGGAGTCACTCGGCTACGTGATGATGTACTTCAATCGCGGCGTTCTGCCCTGGCAGGGCATGAAGGCCAACACCAAGCAGCAGAAGTACGAGAAGATCTCCGAGAAGAAGATGTCCACGCCCATCGAGGTCCTCTGCAAGGGCTCGCCGGCCGAGTTCTCCATGTATCTGAACTATTGTCGTAGCCTGCGCTTCGAGGAGCAGCCGGACTACATGTACCTACGTCAATTGTTCCGGTAAGTGCGACTGTAGTGAGCTGGTTTTTCATTATCAGATTTTGATTTGTCCAATTATCTTATTTTAAAATGATCATGCACATAGAACTTATCTTGTAGGATTTTTGTTGCTGTTAATTAGGATTAATTTCAAGTATACAAACATTACATATTGTGCTAGTCTTTTTCATAAGCGTTTTTCGACCAAATATTCAATAATTTTAGCAACTATTTCAGTTTTTGTTTTAATGAACTGGATTTTCAATGAAGTCCAATGACTTATTCAATAAACATTTTATTTATATTTTCACTATCAGCCATTAAGAACTGAAAATAGTGTTATAGCTATTTGTCGGTTATTATCTCTTAAATAACAATTTATATTATAACTTTGATAATTACTTGTCGATTAATATAGGAAGTTAACTGGTTTTATTTAATACGTTAGTGCAGCACGTTTTAATACTGGTATTGATTTTATTAGTAGTTTGTTATGTGTCTTTTATTCATAATTTTTAATGTAATGCTCGATGATCTAATGGTAGACTAATCCGAACTTTCTCTTTCCCAAAAACAGCATACTGTTCAGGACGCTGAACCATCAGTATGACTACATCTACGACTGGACAATGCTGAAGCAGAAGACCCACCAGGGTCAGCCCAATCCAGCTATACTCTTGGAGCAATTGGACAAGGACAAGGAGAAGCAGAACGGCAAGCCCCTGATCGCGGACTAAAAGCTGGGGATTGGCTTTGAAGCGAGGTTGAAGAGGATTGGGGGAGTGCATCAGAAGAGGAGGAGAACGGAGGCCGTCGCGGACGCAGACGTGGACGTGGATGTGGATGTGGGCGAAAGGCCAGGAAAAGAGCGGAGAAAATACGGAGGAGCAGAAACAGCCGGAGCAGAAGGATTCAGCATCGCTAGCAGCGAGCGTTAGGATGTTTCTTAATATTAATTTAAATTCAATACTAAACAAATAAGGAACAACAGCAAAGCAAAAGCAAAAGCAAAAGCAAAGGCAACAGCAACAGCGCAGACAAGCAAACAAGCAAACAACACATTATAATAATATAAAATGATACCCCAGCAAATGTGATTCACAAGTGAATCACTGCGATCGATAGCAACACACACAAATTATAAGAAACCAATTCGATTCAAATCAAATCAATTCGCAATCCAAACACACTCACTCTCATACACAACTCACACTCACCCACAACACATCCAATCCACTCTCATACACCCACTCAAAACAAGCAAACATCATTGCCCAAACGAAAAAAAAAAGAGAAGAAAAAGAAAGAAATCAACACTTAGCCTAATAAATTACAAGAAATAATAATGGTAATGTTGGAGGAGCAAAGAGAAGTAATGCTGAGGAAAACTAAACCTATATATATGTATATGTATATATATAAGCGAATAAACACCATATATGTATGCATATATCCCATTCGATTCACGTCAAATCGAATCCAATGCTTAATTATGAATCGAGCGAAGCAAAACTCAATAACTAATTAAAATGGAATAAATAAGAAACACAAAAACAAGAATAAACAATAAAAAAAAATTAATAAAATACACAGAGAAAAGCAAACAAAAAAATTATGCAGAATAGTGGAGGAGGAAGAAAAGGAGGATCAGGAGGAGGAGAAACAACCAAGCAAAGCCAACTGAGATGGGGGAAAGTAATAAAATACAACCAGCAACAAGAGTAAACAAAAAAAACAAATAATAATAATAATTATAATGAAGGAAAACAAAACAACAGAACGCAAAACTGCAAAGTAATTTTGCATAGTAAGCAGTAATAATTATAAACATAACTTATATTTAATTTTTTGAATTACATCAATAAATATGTTGAAATTAAATTTCGACTCGGAGCTGTTCACATCTGCATTAGACAGAGATGGGGCGACAGAAAGGGAGAGAAGAGCAGTAAAATGTATTTACTCATCTAATCCTTTGCCTTGTTTATTAAAGATTATACATACATATTGATTTTTAATGATGTAGCATAGACTTAGTTTTTTTTTATTAAACTAAAAAAATTTTTACAAATTATGTATTGAAAAGGCACGTTTTATTTAAACCCCAGATATAATTTTTTATTGGCGTTAGATATGTTTCGACTGAATTAAGTCAAATTTTTGGTTGGTTGTAATCAAAGTTTTCAAATATTTTATATAATTAAATATATATAAGTACACTTTCGTAGTGGGTGTTTTAAATCATAGTCCCAGGTAATAAAAACAATCCGTTGGGTCAGTAATTACAAAGCAAAAACTTAAAAAATGAAACCAAGCTGGTAATCAAATATTTACATGGTTGATATTAGATATAGTTAGTTTGATTACGGGCCAGTTTGATATTTATATTAGAGGAATCAAAAAAAAAAAGAAGGGAACCTCGAAATCTTAAGTTGCTCTTAAACGTTTTAAACAATATAAAGGATTAATGATATAATATGGCTCAATAATGCTTCAATTCGCTTCTTTTTTCAATGTTAATGGTGACTTTAAGGGTATTTCAGCTAATATTTTTCTACAAAAACAAAAAATTATTTGCTTAATTTCCAGGTGGTCTTTTTAGGAGCTAAGCCGAATTAAGCTGACGTCTTTTGCAACCCGCATGGGAAATACATTTATTAGACCCTCTTGATTTCTTTGTTTGTTCGTCATCGTTGACTAATGACACGTACGCCGTCTGTCCGTGTACGACTTCTGATTTTTATTATTTATTAACTACGATGGGATTTTCACTGCGCCACTGACCCATCGCCATCAAGCAAAATGCGCTGATTGGAGGTCCAACTGCAGTGCTGATAAGAACAAGTACACTTATGACTTATAAAATGAGTACTAAAACTACTATAAGTCTACTAATTCATTTTTAGTAAACACTTTCCTTTAATTTTTATGCTTAAATTCCGTTACCACATTTTTGGAATTTCCAAAAAGTCGTTAGCTTAATTTTAATTGCTTTTTTAACGAAAAATAATTTTATTTTTTATTTGCAGGTGTACAAAAAGTTGGTTTGGTATATATAATATGATGGTAATTTATTTATTTTTGTTATAATTAATACAGAAGGATGACCCAAAAAGTAGGTGATGTAAAAAGGGACGGACATAGATCAATAATTATTATAATAGGAAAGTTACTTCATTGATTAAATGTAGAAAAATTAAGAAAACTAACAAAATTTAAATAATCTTTAACCGCATTTTTACGTTGATATGTTAAAGAGTTGCCACATGTTTGTTGGCCTACGGCGCTGCCACCTGGGCGTACCACGGATGGTACCTAATTTTATTGTACCAATTTTACAACAACCTAATTTTCGAAAAGAAGTAACTTAAGTATATCTATTATTAAAACATTTTATGAACAGGCTTTTGTTTATAAACATAATTTGGACATTTCATTTAATTTAAAAGTAACGGAGCTATAGGGAAACTACTGGACCACTACGTTTTTAAGTACCCTGCGGTGGTAACGATTGCGGGAAAACGGCTTACCCGAAACCAAAAATATAAAAAAGTTAGTTTATTATAATTAATGTAATTATCTTGTCGCTGAACTAAGAAATTTCGAATACAGGTGAAAGACCAGAGGTTTGACATGGCTGTTTTGGACGTATTCTATGTAATTGCTTTCAATGTTTTTTATATATCCTTTCTGGTTTATACAGATTTTCTATGCAAAAGTACAAGGTGCTTGGATTCTCGAACTTATCATCGGTGTCTAAAAAAAAACGAAATGGAACTTCCTGTTGAACTTTCGGACTAGCCACCTCTTCATTAAGTTATCCAAGATGTGATCGACTACCGGTAGTATATCTATTATCCCAGTGTTGGTAGCCGTGGTACCATTTTAAAACTTTATGAAGGGTATTGATCTGAATTCTAATCGTGTGTTTTCTGTTTTATTTTGAACTCCGCGTGGAATTTAACTTATTTTTTATCATGATTTTGTTCTGATATTGAGAACAATAAACTCAAAATGTGTCTACAGGGGCTTTAAGAGCAAATGTTCTCAATTCAAGAACATTGCGCTTGCTTTCGCTGTGAACGATATGGTTTTGATAAACTTTACTGCACTGTTCTGACATACCCAGTAAATAAAGTTTCTTGGGCATATACCCATGAAAATACCATGAATCCAGAGTTCTTGTCAACCAACCTGCAACCCTGAAACGATTTTGGCCAATCAAGTAGGCCTTGGCAAACTGTCATGACATTTGAAAGCACTTGTCATTATATTCCGAAGGCACTTGGAAAACCTATTCTCTTTAACGATGGCGAAGAAAACGAATTACAAGATGCCCGAGCGCAACTTGGATCTCCCTGCCGATATGGCATTCGTGAACAATCTGCTCAAGGACCTTGGATTGGAGGCGGATCCGTCGTCACGTGGCGTTATCCTGGACCTGGCCTACAGTGAGTTGAAATTCGGGGAAAGATTGAAAGGCAAAGAGTTTGTGAGTGATTTGTTTTAGCTTTGGCAAGGGACAAACTGGTGGAGGCCCAACGCTTTGCCACGATGGCCAACCGTTCCAACGTGAGTGTCGAGGATCTGCACATGGCGGAGCCCGAGCGGGCCGTCCCGCTGGTAAAGGTCCCGAAGGAGAGTACCGAGAATCTGGAGGAGATGGAGACCGACCAGCCGGGGACTAGTGCGAAGGCGAGCGCGCAGGCGTCGAAGCCCCTGGCCAAGGAGGCCAGCCAGGACCCGGGTTCGAGCAAGGGACCAATGCTGTCCACCTCTCGCAATGATCAGGTGGGCAAGAAGGCCGATCTGAAGCCCAAGGCCGCTGAGCAGGCGAAACCGAAGCCAAAGACCCGAGCAAGTTTATCCAAGCCGGTGGAACCTCCTGCCACTCCAACCACTTCCGGAGCTGCTCCTGTACAACGCACTCCCAGAGTCGCCAAGAAGCCACGTGGCGGAGCAAGTTCATCCAAACCGGTGGAGCCTCCTGCCACTGCAACCACTTCCGGAGCTGCTCCTGTACAACGCACTCCCAGGGTCGCCAAGAAGCCACGTATTGGAGCAAGTTCATCCAATCCGGTGGAGCCTCCTGCCACTCCAACCATTTCCGGAGCTGCTCCTGTACAACGCACTCCCAGGGTCGCCAAGAAGCCACGTATCGGAGCAAGTGCATCCAAACCGGTGGAACCTCCTGCCACTCCAACCACTTCCGGAGCTGCTCCTGTACAACGCACTCCCAGGGTCGCCAAGAAGCCACGTGGCGGAGCAAGTTCAACCAATCCGGTGGAGCCTCCTGCCACTCCAACCACTTCTGGAGCTGCTCCTGTACAACGCACTCCCAGGGTCGCCAAGAAGCCACGTATCGGAGCAAGTTCATCCAATCCGGTGGAGCCTCCTGCCACTCCAACCATTTCCGGAGCTGCTCCTGTACAACGCACTCCCAGGGTCGCCAAGAAGCCACGTATCGGAGCAAGTTCATCCAATCCGGTGGAGCCTCCTGCCACTCCAACCACTTCTGGAGCTGCTCCTGTACAACGCACTCCCAGGGTCGCCAAGAAACCACGTATCGGAGCAAGTTCATCCAAACCGGTGGAACCTCCTGCCACTCCAACCACTTCCGGAGCTGGTCCTTCACAACCCACTCCCAAGGTCGTCAAGAAGCCACGTACTAGAATTATCTACAAAAAGTAGGCTATGAAGGGAATCTTATTCTACCCCTAACATGTGATATTTTCCCAACTTAATAAATATCTCTAGCTATTTATTAGCTTATCAAAAGTCAGTTTTGTCATCTCATGGTTGTTACTAAGGAACTATACATAAGTATAACTAATTCTTGAATATATGGAGAAGCATATACACTTCTCTTAGAGTAAAGGGTATATTGTATTCAAAGAAAAGTATGTGATTCAGATTTTGGTCAAAATACTCCTTTTTTAGTGGTTTTTCAGTCGTAGTTTAGCCAAATCAAGGCGTACAGCTAAAAGACCGACTGTTTTGAGCAGCTTTCTACATATGCTATCAATCCCTATCACTTAAAGGAAGATTTATTTTTTGACCCAATTTCTCATTTTTTGTAAGGGGGTACATCTGTTTTATTTGGGATTCAGATTTTAGTCAAAAATACTCTTTTTTTTTGTGGTTTTTCAGTCGTAGTTTAGCCAAATCAAGGCATACAAACCGACTGTTTTGAGCAGCTTGCTAAATATGCTAACGTTCCTCATCACTTTTAAAAAAATGTATTTTTTATTTATTTATTTAGTGCGGAAAAGGGTTTCAAGTGGTTTTGGCATATAGCTTCTTTGGCAACATGGCTTAGAATTATAATTGTACCTTATATTTTCCCCCCCTTCGCTTTGTTACTTTTTATTGCGTTCATACAAATAACACAGTCAATTATTAACATTGGCTGGTGCTGACTTCGAACTTCCAATGCTAAATTGCCATCGATGCTAAATTAAATAACTAAACAATAAATAGCTACCCTTGGAAAATGTACCTACTGATTGGAAATAAGGTAAACCAGCTATTTAGGTTTCTGAATATTTAAAATTACGCAAGCATGAGTTTTATATTTTGCAAATACGATTTCAAATGCCGTCGAAAAAGAGCGCCAAAGAAAGTGCCTAAATAATAACCAGCCAAAAGTAAGATGCCCACACCTGGCGGGCATTTTCAGCCAGCCAACGACTGGTCACACTAGCAGTCAGCCAACAAAAAACACGACCTTTTTGTGCGAGTGTAAGTTTCAATTTCGATCTGCTTGGTTGTCTGACGGACGTGCTGCGTCTCTTTTGTTGTGTTTTTTGCGAACGAGCGAAGAGCGACAGGACCTCTGCGCCCGTATCCAAAGTAATTAGCGAACCAAATTCAAATTGTGTTTTTCCGTGTGTTTCTGCGATGTTTGTGCGATCGTTCAAGTGGTGATATATATTTTTTTTTTGCAAGTGCCGGAAAACATTTATGTAGATGATTTATTTTAAAAAAACAGTAAGCAGCAAAGAAAAGTTAAATATCATTTTTTGTAAACATTTTTTTTAAAGGTGTAAAGTAAAAATAAATAGTAAAAGCGAAACGGTAATTTGCGGTAAGGAACAGCAAGTTCAAATAAGCAAACATTCGGTTCGTTTTGTGTGCGCATGTGTGCAGTTGCAAGGACCTCAAGAAGAAGAAGAAGAAGCAGGCGAAGCAACAGGCCGAAATCGCAATCGCTGCCCTTTTTTTTACTTAATTTTTTTGTTTTTGTTGTTTTTGAGTTTGCTGGCGCAGCAATAAAATATAAATTACAAACACACAGGCGCATTCGAGATACGACCACCACTAGAGATCGCACACAGCCACAGGCACAGAACACACGGACAAACAAAGAGGGCGAGAGAGCGGGAGTGGGAGAGGAAGGAAGGCAAAGGGACGAAGACGAAGCGCAAGCTTATCTCTCCGCTTTTCGAGAACGCGAACGAAGAAGACGATAAAAGCAAAGCAAACATCACACACACACACACACGAAACAGACATCGGCTGTTGCTGTTTCAAAAAAAAAAACAAACAGAAAAGAATGTAAAAAAACTAAGGGAAAAAGGAACAAGGCAAAGCAAAGACAGAGACTCTTCTTCCTCGCCTCACACATGTGCGTGAAAAATGTCCTGACACACACACACACACTTCGACGCTCGTACGACAAGCACGTGTAATTCTGCTCCCACTCTCTCGCCGCTCTTTATTCTCTCCGTCTTCCTACGTTCGCTGCTAATCACACGCTCTCTTCACTCTTTTAGCTGATTTTTTTTATTGTTGCAATGCAATATTCGCGGAACCAATAACAACAACAACAACACCACATAACTCAACATTCAAGTGCAAAGCAAATACGAATCAAACAACAACAAAAAAAGCAAAGAAAGTAAAAAGCAAAATATAGCAAAAAAAATTGTCCAGTGGGAAATAGCAAAACAACAGCAACAAGCAACAACAACGGCAAAATCAAATTTAAAATCTGTTAAAAAAGTACCACAAAATGCCTTTGATGGCTAATTATGATTATGTCCACTTCGAAACGGTAAGTCCTTTCCAAGAATATACCAAAAAAAAAAATGCCCCCAGTTTCAAAGGAAATTTAACTTCTGGGGGTATTTTTTACCATTAGTTTTTATTGTTAAGGAAAGTAATATTTAACATTTACTTTTGGTAAAATACCAAATGGGTTTCTAGGGAAAAGCACAACAATTAGGATACTTAAATGTGTCATACATCAAAATTTAGAGTTAAATTTAAATTTAAACCTGAGCATTTTCATTTTGAAGCTTTTATTTTCCCTCAACAGTGTATTTCTTTTAAGTTTTATGACACATTTATTTTTTCGTTTTCCAGTAAAATTAAAAGGAGTCGTTATTGGATTTCCAGGAAATCTAAGAAAAATTACATTCTCTGCCAAAGCACGAATTTTTTGGAAACTGAAATACGAACTTAGTGCATAGAAATTTTTAGTAAAATTGAAAAAAAGACCTGACGTGATTTGATTCGCAAGAAATTTTCTAAATATAAATAATTTTCATATAAGAAATCAAGATATTGTAATAATACAGAGGGATTTATAATTGTAAATCCTTTGTTTTTCGTGGATTTCGGCGCAAACATTACAAATTCTTGTTTTTGGATACAAGAAACAAAACTTAAGTTCATGTTTGCCATAAACTTTTCCAAATATTTCATATATCTTGTGTTATTCAATCGAATTTCTTAAAAGAAATACATTTTTTGATCGTTTTGGTTCTTGCAAACCCTATTTTAAATTATTAATAGTTAGTTGGGTTTTACAAAATCTCAAGAACTTGAAAACAATCATTCCATCAATTTGTGTCTCTCGAGTGAAAAACACTTAAAATATTTTTAGGTCGTCAACTTGAAACATGCCTAAACCACATGTTTTTTTGTTTTCGGGTTTATTTATTCACGGAGTTGCATTTTGCGCGAGTTTTTGTGTGTGTGTCGTGAAAAGCAATATGTGCATCGTTTGCTCAATTTCGTTAACTTGTTTTTCATTTTTTTTTCCATTTTTCATTTTGTTTTTCGTTATATTTCCGTTTCGTTACACTTGCATTTGTTGTTTGTTATTCCCCATTATTAAAGCTGATTCATAATTATTATTTCGGTTTGTCAACTCACAAAACAGCTAAAAAACGAAGAAGCGAAAAACGACAGACTGTGTAAAGTGGACTAAATAATTGTCTGATAAGGATTTTTGATAAGTGTATTGGAGAAGGGGGCGGGGCAACCTGCTCCCTCCCTCTCCCTCTATCTCTTTCTCCCCCTCTCCCCTCTCCTCACATTTATTTGTTACAATTGGCGTCATCGCAGCAGCATCATTAAAAGCAACAACAATAACGCCACTCGTGATCATTTACTGTTTGTATATATGTATGTATATGCCATACATAACATTGTATATGTGTGCGTGTTATGGGCAGCGACGTCGGCAGAGCAGCTGTTGATCGACAACAAATTCGATTAACTCAAGTTCCGGGTTTGCTTTGGCTGGATTTTTGTGTTTTTAGTGATTTCTGTTGTATTATTTATATTATTTCTTTTACATTTTTTTGTTTTTTGTGTCCGCATTGGAAGTTGCTCTGCTCTCAAATGAGCCCAGTTTTTTTTTTCAAAGAGCTCTGCTGCTGCGCTGCGGTTACGTGCAAAGTTTGTGTGAAAGAGAGAGAGGGGGGAGAAAGAGAGGAGGAATGAGGAGCAGTGTGGAGCTCGAAAGGGAAAAAGAGAGCGGCACTTTTGTTTTGATTTTCTTGTTCTTCGGCTTTTCGCCAATTTGCGTAAACTAAAATGCAGGGCCAAAGGGTCAAGTAGAACCACAAAATAAAGGGATGGGGGGGTGGAGGGGGGAGAAAAACACACAATAACAACAAAAATAGGGCCAAGGCAGGTTGACGTCCGATAAAGTTGCCAATACTTGTTGAATGAACTTTGCATTTGCCGCCGTGTTATCGATTATCGACAGGCAGCAGCGATTATTCGCATGGAAAATTCATTTGATTTTTGTTTTTGTGTGCTGTCATTACGCAGCGCTTTTTGTTTTTGCTTTTCGACAGCCACAAAGGCAACAACAAATTGCTGCCGAAAGCGAAAGGGCGCAACAGACACACACACACACATAGAAACTGCTGCTGCAGCAGCGCAACTTTTTCCAGGCGACAAAATTGTCGCAATCGTTGTGCAAGCAAAAAAAAAAACTGGTGATTTGAAGCAGAAATCAGGTTTTAAATATATAGGTATATTGTTGAATGTGAATAACTTTTTACTATAATTTGAACTCGATCTTTGGTTATCTAATTGATAATTACAAATAAAGTGAAATATAAAAGGTAATTTTTTTTTATTTTTGTCGGATGCGCTGCAATGGATTTCAAAGATGGAAAGGCAATTTCATGTTATCGCTAAAAAAATAGTTTGTTTCCTCATTTTTTTTCAGGCTGCAAAAGTGTTGCAATCTTAGTGCTTGTGAATTTGTTAAAACATTTTGTATGGTGTCCGTGTTTGGGCTTTTGTTACATTGCTTGCGCCACTTTGGTCGGTTGGAAACTGCGATGGTTTGGGGAGAGGGAAGGGGAGAGGGAAGGGGAGAATGGAGAATAGAGGACCGAAAGAGGAGAGAAGGGAGCGCCAACTTTAAAATTCATTTTTTCGCATAACTTTTAATTTCTCGTTTTTCTTGGCTTCTCCTTGATTTTATTATGAAATTTATACATATTACAATGTGTGCATTTATGCAGTTTGCACTTCACACTCGATACAGTGGGTGTCAACTAAAACGATTGGTGTTTATAGAATGACTGAAATTTTTATTATAACTTGTGGTTTTTTCATGTGAGAAATGGCAACTATTCATTTCTTAATATAACTTCAACATTAATTTCTTACATTCTGATTTATGGATACGTTTTAGAACTTTTGATTTCTATAGAATGCAATAAAAATGCTTTAGTTTTTATTCAATAGGTTAGTGTAGGGTGTGTTCACTGTAGTTGTTTGGCCCGTCTCTTTGCTTGGCTTTTGTTTTTTTTTTTGCTTCTCTGTTTTCAGGCTGAAAAGTAAAATGTGTAAAATGTGCTTAGTTTGTTATATCGAAATCCTCGTACGTAATCAGCGGTATTACGTTTCAACAAACTCCCCCTCCTCCGCTCTTTGCTTCACCTTCTCCTTCCACTGCCCCTGCCCTGCCCCCTTCCCCCGCTCTCCGCTACCCTCTCCTGCTGAGAGGCTCACTTACACTTACAAGCGACAAACGGCGACTACTTTTTACGAATATAATTCCATTTCCTGCCAAGGCGATAACAACAACGTCGTCGTTTTATTTTGATCTGTGTTTTTTTTCCTCTGTGTGTGTTTGTCCCGACGCCATTGCTGCAAGAAGAAGAAGAATCAGAGTGGTGGGGGAGGTGGAGGAGTGGAAGGAGTAGGAGTGCAAGGAGGAGGAGAAGAAGAGCGAGTGTAGCGACCACCGCTACCTACCTAAAAAAAAAAGGCAACTCTTCAATCTTCAATCCTCACTCTCCTCCTCCTCCTCTTGTTCTCCCCCTCCTTTCCTCCCCCACCTCCTCCTCCTTGGTTAACCCTCAACTCCGCCGAACGTCATTTCATTTCGATTCGATCCGACTCGACTCGATTAATATGCAGCCCCATCCCCAAAGTCCAGGTCCAATACCGCATTTACCCATGCCCATGCCCCATCCCATCGAAATCCCAGGCTCAAGTCCCCGTACCTCTCACTCACTAACTCACCCACACTGACGCACAATGCAAGCGCAGCGACAGTGTTGCCAAACCCAAATTGTATTGAAAATTAGTTAAAATATCTATACCTATGGATATATTTTTATATTAAAATTTACTTTAATAGGATTAAGATAAAAATGGTTTAATTTATATGTTTTTCTTATTTGTAAAACCTTTACTCTATGTTTTTAATGTTTTCAAAAGAGTTTATTTACTACGCTTTTCAAAAATAGCTAAAAAATACACCTGCTCATGTGTGGTACTCCAACATTTTCTAATAGAACTCTGCTATGAAAAGTCTTCAATTTTATGCCTTAATGATTAGGCAATATATATGTACATACTTCTGCTGTTTTCTGTTTAAAGTTTTCTCCTTCTAAAAGTAGTGTATACGAATTTAAAAACGGAGATTTTCAAGAAGAAAAAGAAAATATTTAACCTCCTATAGGTTGGAACTTTAGAAGCTTATTTTACAACTTGGCTATAAAAAGGCTAAAATTTTCTATGTTATTGATAAGACAATATATACATACATACCTCTGCGGTTTTCCGCTTAACGTTTTCTGCTTTCAAAACTAATGAACACTAATTTTAAAAACGTTGATTTTCTAAAAAAAAAAAAAGAAAATAAAATGTTGGACCTCCTGTAGGTTAGAACTTCACAAGTTTCTTTTACAACTTGGCTATAAAAAGGCTAGAGTGGGCACCTCTCCTAAACTCACTACTCAACGGGGCACTTAAACTCATGAAACGCATGAGGACATGAGGCCGGGGCAGCAACAACAACAACAACAACGACCGCAACAACAAGAACAAGAACACATTGTCAGCATATTGACTGGCTGACCCTTGAGATGCCCTGGGAGTGAGCGAGAGGGAAGATGGGGCCGGTGGAAGGAGTAGAAGAAGAAGAAGGGGATCCTCAGTTCGTCAAGAGTTTATTAGTCGATGGGGGTTGAAATTGAAATTGAGGATCACAACCCCGACGCATTTCAAAAACGATTTTGTTCCTAACTCAACGCAAGCAAAAGAAACATACAATAGAGTTCGGTTGTATTAAAAATAATAATACTAATTCTTAAAAATCATGCCTTAAAGACAATCAATTAATGTTAAATGTTTTCATATGGTATAGTTATTATGAACTTGCAGTTGTAAAGGGGAGTTAATTGGTTTTCTAGAAATTAGATTCTACGAATATGATTGTCTAATTGGTATTTTGTTATTGCAATAAATAGTTTTCAAAATAATGCGTTTTCTACAAAGTAATTTACTTAA